AGGAAGACTTGCCAGACAAGATCCAAAACCAGTGTGACCTTCGCCTTTAATAAGGTGATTCAGAAACTGTGTGCCTAGAGGACTCCTAGCCAGAGCTGCTTCCTGCAGGTATGTGGCTGATTCCCGGCATACTTGCTGTCTGAAGTTTTGAGCTGTGTGTAAAAATGGTTTGACTGTCAGAAACATCAGGTGCTGTGTGTAGTTGCTGTTACACAAAGCCATTTAAAAAAACTCCAAAATTACACATTTGGAGAGCAACCTTGAATCTAAATAAAAAAACCCTGGTTTTATGAGCAAACTTAATGTTGGCATCTCAGTAATTTTTAATATATCAAGAATTAAGCTATGCCAGGAGATATATGCGACATAGTACTTCTGGTAATGGAATGTCAGAAATTACTCTTACCATGTCAGGACAGACTTTTCATTAGAGCACCATGTGGATGTGATACTGACAGATAAAATCTGGAGTCTGGCAGATGTTTTGCCAGCCATGCAATTGCCTCTGAAGTCAACATGGTCTTAACACTGTAAGCCTGTTTCCAGTTCTGCATTAACTGGCTGACTTGCCTGTCAGGCAGTTACAGCATAAACCTCCTCCACTTACTGTGCTGCTGAGAGTCTGTCTGCTCTTTCAACTGTTGTCATGTCTGGAAAACATCTTAGACTACTGCTCTCTCATCTCTCCATCTTGCTGTCTTCTGTAAACTACCAACTTCTGTGTGGTTTAGCTTGGTGCAAAGCTTTAAAAGTGACTCTTGATTAAGTCTAAGGTACCACTACACCTCATGTGGGAACTAACTGCTGTTCCAGCCAATGCTGATAGGTATTGGCTTTTGTTCTAGAGTGTCTAACAATTGCCTGAATGCTAAGTTCTTGGAATTCTGTCCACAGCTAATTAGCCACAGAAAAGCCCCGTTCTTCTATTCCTCATCAAAGCTATAGTAAGGGTGGGAAGAGATGATTTGCATTGAAACCTTCTACTAAACAGCTCCCTGCTTCTAAAATAGCCTCTGGCCAAGCCCCAGCTTGTGCAAGGTAACTTGGCATTATCACAAGGAGGTGGTATTAACTGGAGTTAATGAGGAATAACAGTGATGCCATTTTTTTATGTGCAAGTGGTGAAGCCTGAGCACTCCTGTATTGTAAAGCTCGTGCTTTCTATGGGTAGTGTGGGTGCTATACACACTTGTGTGCCAGTGGTAAATGTACAGCACTGATCTTCCCGGTGGGTTCTCCCCTTGTCTTCCATTGGCAGGAAGTGTGTTACTGTGATGGGTATGCAGCATTCCTCAAGAGGGATTTTACTAGAGAAGCAGGAGAAAGCATTTTTCACAATTAGAAACATGTTGATTTAGAAGCTGTTGTTGGAGGCTTTTTAAGGAAACAGTTCTGATTCTTTTAAAAAAATTGAGCTGAAGGTCACTCTGATAGTTTTATTCTCACTTCTTTACTGTGCCCCATTTAACTTACTTACTTTAGGTGGAATACTGTAATACAGTAGTTTCCACCTCTTCCCCTTCCTGCCACCTCCCCCCCAGAAAAAAAAGCCAAAATACTTAATACTTGAACCTTGAACATAACTCCTTGATGAGGACTTCAGTATATCTGGTGAACTATAGTAAACTTGCTTTTGAAGCCTCTCCCTATAGCTTTGGCTTGAATGGTAGCAGTGAAACATGCCTGTGGGCATTAAAAATAGTCACCTTAGCAGCATAATGCCTGTAATAATGAAAAACTTGGTTTAGGAACTAATTTCAGTCTTGCACTGCATTTATCCCCTAGCAGCTTTCTGCAGTTCTGACTGCCTTTCTGTTTGTCCTTTAGTTACAGCTTCTGAATTGGATAATAAATCTTCACAAATGAATTTCTGAGTAGAAGCTGGTATTAAGCAAAAAAGAAAAGCAAGTTAATTATGGAAAAATGGTTTCTAGCTGATGTTTTCACTGCTTGATTGCTGTAAGAACTAAAATAGGCTATTTGCAGTTCACACCAGTCATCTGACTAATCTTGCTAATGAGTAAATATGCTTAGATGCTTGATTTGATAGCAAGTGTGGTGGGAAGGGACATAGCTCTACAAGTGCCACCAAATATATGGATGGTGATGGCAATGGCAATCCCTTTGAAGATCAGAAATTTACAGCCTCTAAGTGATGAACAAAGGGAGTGCTGCTCCTGGCATGCTCAGAGGAGCTTTTTAGCTCAGGTAGGCTTTAAGGGGAAAGTAAGTCTGAACAATATGTGGCCTTAAATCAGTTTAAGGGGATTTGCAAAATACAGTGTTTCCCCTATCAAGGAGAGTACAGAGACAGCTTAATCTGGATTCCAGGTAGTTGCTGGTGGAAAGAATGGTTGCAAGGTTGGAGTTGTGTGTCCAGAAAACAACACAATGCCAAGGCTTCTCCAGAAGTTCTTGCTAATATAGTTCCAACATGCAAATGTACTGTGCTAAGACTGCAGGAGAGCTTTAGTTCTAGCTGTACAATGACCTGAAGCCATAAAAACCGCAGAGTGAGCTAGCAACAACACTGTAGCTTCCAAACTACCTAAAGCTACTGTCACACACTTCTAACTAGTTGTTTGTGCCATCTGTACAGATGGTTAATACCTGACTTTACATAAGGTGCTGGCTCTCAAGTTCCTGAGTGGCAAGAGGATATGCCTGAAGGAAGGATGCCTGCATTTTGTCATCGAGAGGTGAAGTTATTTGAATTCTAAATCAAATAGAAAACATTCAGAATTTTAAAGGTAGCCTATGGATTTGACCAAGAAAGGTCTTTAAGAGGAATCTGTAAGTTGCTGTGTTGGACTCAAAATTGTCAAGTCATCATAAATCAATCTTGTGCATCCTGAAACAAGATTGCCAGAAAATCCTGGTGATGGAGAGACTCGTGATGTGAACAGTTTCATACTTTATATTGTTGATGTTGTCTACTCACAGACCAGTGGAGGGGTAGCATCTGCAATAGTTTCCACTATGAAAAACTGTTTTCCAGGTGACAGTAACTGCTTAATGTAAGGCTATATGCTGACCCAAAGTGCTGTAGAGGAACAGCAGGCTGTCACAATAGTGCAAGCTGCAGAAGAAGCCTCAGTGTGGCTGTGCAGTGTCTGCATGCAAACCAAGGTAAACTATCTTTTATGCTGATGCTGTACTGTTTTGGCTGGATCAAACAGTGCTGCTCTTCAGACATGCCCTGAGGAAAATGAAGTACATGAAAGTCACTCTTAATCACCCTCAGCTGATCACCCCGTGTTGAATAAGCACTGCAGAACCAAGGTGATTATTGCAAATCATAGAATTCTCTGGCTGCAGTGGGCACACAGCCCTGCTGAGGGTGTGTGGTGTGGTCAGGTTTGGTTTTACTATTTAGGCAAAACTGAGTCTGCAGAACTTGGCTGGTTGTATCAGATACACTACAAGCTATTGATTGCTGTAGTTTACAGGGCTGGAAATGTAACCAGAGTGTCTGCAAGCTATGTGACACTGGATTCTAATGGCACCTGCTAAACTCTGTTGTGGTGTCCTTGCTGAAATGGTGATACACATGGGTCTGTTATTCCATGACACATCAAGGAGCAAACTTGGTCTGTGGCTTGAGCTGTCTTGGTAAGGATCCTGCACTGTAATTCCCTTGACTTGGGTTGAAATGCAGGTGAGACTTGGTGCAGTTGGGTGTCGCTCACTGTGACCCAGTGGTCTTGCGTCAGGGTGGGTTAAGACTGACTCCTGAGGGGTTTTTGTATGAAGATGCTGTACTTGCACAGCAGTGATGGTGAGGAGGAGCCTTTCCTGGATAAGTGTATGTGGCCCTCAGCAGCCAGAAGAGACTCCTGTTACTGCCAGTCAGTGGGAACAGATCCAGAGACAGGCACATGTGCACTTGGAGCTGGCCTTAGAGCCTCTAAGGATTGCACCTTTGTACCTGAAATGGCAGCATTGAGCCCTAACCTGATCTTTACAGTAGTACAGAAGTAAGACATGTTCCTGGCTAGGACTGGTCTGGTCTCTACTATAGTCTTGCATGAGTTTGTGTTTTGTTGAAGAGCTAGGGTAGTAGGAAAGAAGCATGTTATTCATTCATTACCTTTTATGTCCTAGTTGAAGTAGGGAAAGTGAAGCTGTCATCTTGATACACAGTAACTTTGAAACTAAAGACAAGGCTCACATGACTTTTAAAAAAATAGGGTTGTGAATTTGGAAGAAGTAACAAAAGACATTTACCTGTATATTTTTTCCTGCAAACACTATAGCAAACTAAGGAAGTCTTGGAGCTCTTACAGTTTCCTGCTGCTGCCTCTCTCCCAATTCCAGCTGCAGTCCTAATGGACTCTGTTTCTCTTGTGGTTTTAAAGCCACTAAGAGGAAAAGAAGATTCCATTGTGCTTTGTTAGTTTTAAATACAGCTCTACCTGCTTTTTGTGACAATAGCAACAGATGTTTTATGTGCTCAATGAACAAACAATTAATTACCATGTACCCAGCCCTTGTAAGCAGATCAGTGTTATAGACAGACTTATAGTAATGCATTAGCTCTGCAATTACCTTCACAATTGGCTTACCAGTCCTGGAATTGTTAGTATATAAGAAGGATGTTTGTAAATTAAATTTTAAAAAAGGCCAGACACTCAAATGTATCTATAGGATTCCTTGAGGAAAACTAAAGGTAGCTGAATTGCTACTTTGTCACAGATTTGAGATTTCACTTGTGATACAGCATTTGTATGAACAGTCTTGAATCTCCCTGTGCTAAATCATAATTCCATAGAGCTTTCAGTCTTGTCTTGTACTTCCTAGTGAAAATTGTTACCTCTTAGTAGGTTGACCATGTGCTATCTTAAGCATGTCAGGAGCCAAAACGTGGTTCTGTGATTAAGCAGCACAAAGCACTGGAGTGCAAGAGGATCACGTGCCCTTGTGGACAATACCAGCCATGAATATAATATTGCTGAATGCAGTAAAACTGCACAAATTCATTCTTTATTTTTAAACCTGCAGGAGTTTGAAGATGCATCAAGACTGATAGTGAGGATAGAAAAATCTCCTGGAGAAGAGCCGAGCCTGAACTATTGGCCATGTCCATCACAGATCACAGCCCCAGCACAGGAGTGGTGACTGTCATCGTTACCCTGATCGCCATTGCGGCTCTGGGAGCGCTGATTCTGGGCTGCTGGTGCTACCTGCGCCTGCAGAAGCTCAGCCAGTCTGAGGATGAGGAAAGCATTGTGGGTGAGGGAGAAACCAAAGAGCCCTTTCTGCTGGTGCAGTACTCTGCTAAAGGACCCTGTGTGGAGAGGAAAGCTAAGCTAACCCCAAATGGCCCAGAAGCACACAGCTAACTCAGAGCAACACCTGCAGGTGGGCTGTGATCATGACGTGTAACCAGCAGAAGCATCTCAATACTGTGAAGAACCTGGTCTCCTGCACAGTACTCATCAGAAAACATCCTGATGAGAATTAAATAAGCTTTGTTTGCAACTGCATGCACTGAGAAGCTGCATTTTGCATCAGCTGTGTATCCTAATTCCTGTGTGGCAGGAGCTGACTGGCCTGGTGTAATGTCCATTGCCGGCAATGGGCACAGGGATATACTGGTGTGAAGAGACTACTACTGTATTTTGTTACTTGAATGTTCAGCTGAGCCTATTTTGATGGAGCTACTACTGTAATGTGAACTACTTTACAACTGTGAACTGTAAATAGGCTGCCAAAACTTCTTGCTTTGTGTTCTGTAGCATATGGTACAACTGTATATAATACACTGGGATTCCTGAACCACTACCATGGATGGGACTCCAGACCTTCCAAACCAGGTCTGCAGTTCGAGCTTGCTTCTGCTACTAGATGGAGTGTGCAGCCAGAACTCCTCCTTTGAACAGTTTATTGGACTGATACAGAGTACTTCCTTTAAAAAGAAGGGATAAGCCTTCAGTAATATACTGAAGTAGGAAACACAGGAGCAAGAAAGGAAAAGTTGCTTTAGCTGCAGCTATGTTGGGTAAACTTTTGGCTGCTAGAACTGAGTTCTCCATGTAGCTACTGCTAGGAAACTGCCATTTTGATGGGTTCCAGCCTGGGAACTTATGATGGATACTGAACCCTCAGGGAAAGTCCAGATGGTTTCCAGGTGTTTGAAATGGCAGTAGAGCAGGCTTCTGTCTTCCATAGGTCTGTGTGCTGAAACTGCTTAAGTGGTTACTTAGCAGAACTGGCTTAAGTGCAACTAGTATAAATTCTTCCTAGAACAATGGTTTGTGTACTTAGGGTGTATGTTAACAGCCTGATAAAAAAAGGCATTTTGTAATATATGCAGCCAGACAACTCTAGAATTCACTTAATGTATCTTGTATATAACTTTTGATGGAACTGTACTACAACAGGAGAAGTTTCAGTCTTTTCTACTGTTGACAGGGGCAAGAGTTATTGCTGGTCAGTTTGTAGAAGTTTTTAGCAAGCAACAGCCAAGTCCTTCCAGATAACACATTTCCTGCTCTGTGCTGGAGTTCAGCTATAGGAACTGTAAAAAGGTGTTAAATGGGAAGTTCTGGACTGCAAAGGTTTGGGGAGACAAGAAGGAACAACACTGAGCAGCCACTGGCAGCTTATGTATTCTATAATTCTTCCTGTAGGCACGCATGCTTCAAGGTCACTGGCCTGTTTTCTTTTACTTTGTACTGGCCTCCTTTGCATACTGATGTTTTTAAACACTTAATTGCCTAGCCTTAATTCAGCTCCAGAGGAAGCATTAGACTTGCTTCTTGTACTTGTACATATGGAATAACTTAAGGCCTAGCAAGCTTGCTTGAGAATTTCAACTATATGCAAGGCAAGAATGGCCTAGACAAAAAGTTGTCCCCTTCTTCTACACCAAGATGTTGAATTGCTTTGTTCGTGCTACATTTGCCTTTTTAAAATTGAAAGTTGTAATTTGAAGCAAAAAACTGCTGTCAGTAGTAAAAAGCTCCTGCTGTTGCCTCTTGAGCACAACATATGGGGTACAGCTGATAATGTTCTTACCCTGACACATGCTTTTAAAAATACTGCTCTCAACAGACCTGCATGTATAGTCAGACCAGTCCACTTAAATAGCTGTATTTGAGACCTCTAAAAAGCAAAGAAAAAAAGGATTCATTCAGTAAGACTTCCTCTAGTTTTCAGCAGAGAACAGTTCACACATGGCTCTTGTGTTTTCCAGACAATCAGAACACTAGTATACAAAAGTGATACAAAGTGCTGAAGTTTGAGAACAGAACAGTTGTAGCAAGATGACTTTGTCCATTCAAGTTTACTGATTACACAGATAAAGTATCTATTTTAATTCAGCAAAGAGAATGCAGTGTAAAGGGCAAATTTCAGAAATTATGGAAAAGTATAAATCAAAGGTCTGATTTCGTTTCTAGCAGCTGTAAGAGAAAGCCAGTGAAAACTAACTGGTCCTTAGTCAGAGGTGCTGCACACTGCTGCCCCTACAAACCAGTATCTTTCATTTAAATGGATAGGTGTTTGCAAGTTAGTGCAATAGTAAAGTGCAGGAAGTGTTTTCCATTCTCCTCTTCTCTTAAGATGGGGTATCTAATAAGTTGTTCAAGTATACAAAAATATTCCATTTGATTTTTCTTTTTCTAGATCATGTGGGGGGAAGTCTTTATTTACAATGAATGTCAATAAAATTTGCATAAATACCTACCCAATACTGCATCACTTGACTTTGTGTAAGCAATTATTCTGTCCTATTTCCACTACTGTGCTCTGTCTCTATGGTATCAATATTATCAATCCTTTTTTCCTCTAAAGCAGCAGTAGCTGTTGAGAGTGATATATCATTATCTTCAGAAAGTGTTTGCTCAGATTGAAGGGGTTCTTCAATTTCATCTTTGCTCTGTAGCTTTCCTCCTCTTGATGCCACCAGAATTCTCAGTAAAGCGTTTTCTTTAAGGAGGTTTTCTGATGCATCAGCTAATTCTTGAAGCTTTTCAGCCATTTCTAACAATTCTTGATTCTTCTGGTCATATGTGGCCTGTAATTGCTCACTGTGGAGCTGCAGAGTCTTGTGCTGCTTTTCCAGTGTGTGTTTTTGCTGCTGTAGTCTCTGCTCCTCTCTCCTGGCTTCAGAGAGCTGTGCTTCAAGCTGGTCATGGGCCTGATGAAGGGCACTGATTTCTGATCTCAACTTCTGAATTTCTCTCTCCAAGTGTGAGATGTGTCCTTGCTGTAGAACTGACTCTTTATGTAGGCATTCTTTGGTACAGGGCTCTGATGGAGAAAGACTTGAATGATGTAAAATGAATTTCAGGAGATTGGGAAGGTTAACTGAAAAGTCTTCAGGGAACTTCACACTTTGCTCCTTCCTAGAAGGACATAACAAGATAATAGTAAAGTACTCTGGAAGGTTAAGCATAATTTTACCTAAGCATCTGCTGTTTAACTCCAACTTGATACCTTATTTTTCATCAAGTATGGTTAGTACAGCAGCTAAGAGAAAACCTAAACTCATGTAATAGAGATAGATCACACAGATTTTCTTTTGATGTTCATTTTTCCCTGTGTTCCCTCTGAGTGCTGTAAGCATCTCTGCATGGGACTGGTATTTGAAGAAAAAATTCCGTTAAATCTCAGAAGACAGATTTAATTCTTAAAAAAGAAATATTCATGATCATGGGTTATGAACTTCAAGTACATATTAAAGCATCACTGTATGATCAGAGTACAGTGCCATTAGTATTTTAAGTTGAAGGATGATGTTTAAATGTTCTTAAGTCTATGTATATTATTTAGAATTTAAGTCCAGATATATAAAGCTACACAATGGGAAATCACTATTTTGATTAGAAAAAGCAGTAGCTTAGTGAGCTCCAGCACCTGAAAGCCATGGCAAGGGAGCAGTTTGCTTTTAAACAGTAAGTCACTTTAGTCAGAAGTAAGGCCCTGTCCAAAAATAAATCTCTTCACTTGTTCCTTTTACTGCTTTGTCTTTATGTCATAAGTGATGATGGAAGCAAACCAAACAAGGTTTTTCTGCTGGTGTTTTCCCCCCCCCCGAAGCTGTGAATACTAAGCCCAGCATGTGGAGCAGGTAAGCCTCCTTACCTTCTGCAACAGCACAAACTGTTACAACGAGAAAGGCCAAGAACAGCAAGTACCAAATTTCTTCCTCAAGACTATCAGCCACTAAAAAACAGCTCCAGCTGTGACAAATGTTACAATTACTGCCCTTTGTGAACCCTGTGCACACATATAAAGCCAACTATCCTCTAAGGACTAGACTGGAAGTCACTCCTGCTCTTCTCTTTCTGAACCAGTTCCACCTTCAGCCTTTCACTCAGCATGTTCCAGTGTAACACAATTTCACTTCCTCCTGCAGCACAGCCACTTCCACCTCACCCTGTACAACTGGGAAGCCAGCTAATAGTTTATCACTTTGGGTCTGCTCCAGCTTTGCCTGTCAGCAGTGTATTCTCTCTTTCCTGAGGCAGCCATCAAAACAAGGAAGAAAAGCTTAGTTTGCTTCCATCTGGCTGTCAAACTGATGACTAGAGTAATGGTAAGTAGCATACATTCAGATATGGGTTAATTATGTAAGTGAGAAAAAGGACAGAGACTAAGCCCAAACAAAAATGACTGCAAAGCAAGAAAGCCAGATTCAAGTACAAAGCCTAAAGGCTCATGGTGCTCTTGTACAACACAAACCAGATAACTCTTTATGTCCCCTTGTGTTTAACATCACGTCCTGAATTGGTTACAATGTGCATCTGGAACAGGGGAGTTCCTTCCTTACCAATTACACTTCCCTCAAAAATGCCTTCTGGAAAATCCAACTCATAAACATGTGGGATATAAAAACATTTCATTTCATTTCATTTACTGAAAACCACTTACTGTACAGCAGGTAGAAGACACATATCATCTTTTATCAATAATTCAAGAACTTCAGTCAGATGAGGCTCCTGCTCATCAAGATTAAGCTATTTCTGGCAGAGTGAGCACCATGAGTGTTCCTCCCCTGCAGATTCCTGATGATGGACCAAGTTACTCTTGTAATTACCATCAGCAGTTGCTCAGCTGACTATCAACTCCCACCCCAGATTAAAGAATCATGACATAATTTAGGCAAAGAATAGTCTATGCTAAATCAAAATTGACTCACTATATTGTGGCAATGTTTTATTACATCATCATCTATTTTTATTGATCAAAACCACAGCATGTATCAAAGAAGCTAAAAGGCTATTTAAAAGAAATAGCAGAACAAAACATTAACAGCATGTGGTGGAAAGAAATTGAGAACAGAGTTAATTTGCAAAAATTGTCTCATAAGGCAAATGGATAAGAAGCTGCATTAAAAAGCCCTAATATGAGGCACCTTTATATCCAAAATGAGTATGTGGCTACTCTAGTAGTCCTACAGGTACTACAAATACTATCAGATCCTAATTTTCTTGATTACTCACATGCAGCAAAATATAAAAAACACTGGAGAGGAAAAGCAGGAGTGAAAGCAATGACTAGAGGTAAGGTACCTTTATAAAGCCAGTTGGAACATTATAAAAATAATAATAATCTTAATAAAATAATCTTAATAAAAGTACTCAGTCTGTCCCTCCAGAGACTGTCTAGAGCATTACAGAGACAGAGACCAAATGAGTACCTATGAAAAGAATCAGGGAACTGATCAGTTGGGGTTGCTCAGAACTGATATAAACAAAACTCACTCTGTATTGGATTAAAACATCAATGGCAAAACTTAAGGCACAGATTCAGAGATTCTGTGGTATGTAGCTGCCCAGCACCAGTAGACTGAATTCCCATTTGCTGATGGTAAGAGCCCTTGAGGGAGAAGGGTGGAAATCTGGGAGTGTTGGTTGGGTTATTTTGTTGTTTTCCTGGTGGTTTTTTTCATTAGAATATGAATGTGGTAAGAATGCATCTACAGAAATGAATTAATCTTTGGCTTTTTTCTCTACTAAGACATGTAACCAGATAATTACTGCAGCTCAGTAAAACAGAAGTTAAAAAACCACAGGGACAAGAATTACTTTACCTCTGATGAGGAAAAAATAAAATGGTTGGGAGACGGTCTGTCATAAATTCCCAGGGAAGGTCATTTCGAGTCACATCAATTCTGTGAGGAAAAGACACACTGATGAAGAGAACAGGCAGATGAACAATCTGCATTTCCTTGTAAAATGCCATTTTAGAGACTGGGAAGAAGGAAATCTTAAGTATCTGTGAAACAAGTCTAAATGTGTTCTGCCAGAAATACATTGTGCATAAGTCAGCAGAATTAATTACCAATATTCAAGCTGCTGACTCTCAGTTTAACAAATATCTGTGTGGGTTTTTCTCTCGAATAGTATGTTCAATTCTGCAACTGCTCTCAGCCAGCAATTAAAACCCAGTTGCTCTCTGTGTACACACAGTGCACACATCTTCCTTCTGAGACAGACACACCAAACATGAGACAAGTTATTTTTAGTCCCTAATTTGTTCTTCAAGTACATCTCTTAATATTGTCCCCTTGAGTAGTTTTGGGAATAAATTATTTTGCTTGTTCCAAGGATAAGCACATGCTTAAAGGCACTTTTTTCCCTAAAGCTCTGAGTAGAAAGGAACCCGTGGTTCAACTGTTTGTTACTGTTTTCTCCAGAGTTTTAGGGCTTCTTCTCACAAATAAATTTCTTATTAATTACAAATTATTATAGAATAAAACAGACAATCACATCAGTAATACTGCTATGAAAATAATGGAGCAAAGGAGAGAACTTCAAAGTCAGGCGAGAGAATGTAGCCTTGGGAACAGCATCACATCTGTGGCAATAAAGCCACAATTACAAACAGGGATAAAACCCCAGATTTTTAATTGATTTATTTTTTCTTTACATCTCATGCTGTCTCCTGGAGTAAGTTCAGTCAGAATCAAATAAAGATGCAATCAGAGCAGATGTTTTAAGTATTTAGGTATTATTATCACGTACACGAACAAGAATGTTTCAGTTGCAGTGAAATATTAATAACCCTGGAAACACCAAAGAAAACAATGGGGTTTTTTACATATAATACGTATTTAACATTTATATTAAAAATGTACATTACACACATGCATATATAGATATATTTCTGTAAACTGGTTTGGCTGGGGTAGAGTTAATTTTCTTTATCATAGGATGTAGATTGCCATTTTAGATTTGTGATGCAAATGATGTTGCTAACAAATACATATATATATACACACACACAAATAGCATATTACTATTTGCTACAAATCACCACAAAGTTATGGATTCACTTCCTGAAATTAGGAAGTTTCTAGGTTAATTGCACAGTTTAAAAATTAATTTTAATGAAAGCGGGTAACTACTGCAGTGAGATTGAAAACCACCAAATATATACAAAGGAAAACAAAACAATGCATTCAAAGAAAAATGAAGCAGATGACATTCACATCTATATTGCATGGTTGTAGAGAGAAAAAAGTATTTATTTTCTAGGCTGATGACCTCAATGATCTTAAATTATTCTGGAAAGATGAAATTAGAATCTTTTTACCTTGCCACAGTGAAACTGTCAGGAGGCAAAAGCCGAGCAAGTTGAATAAAGATGTGATTAAGAGAAGCACAGAATCCACACCACTGTGCGTAATACAGCAGCAAGACATTCTGGAAAATGAAATGGAGAAGAGTTTGATTATCTGTTGGAGGTAATCTGCAGAAAGGAGGACTAGTTTTCACATCATCTAGCATGGGAACTGCTGAAATGTGAAAGCAATTTTTTCCTAATATTAATGAACTTTATTGTAAGTTATTCACTGCTGCTCTCTGACTACTGAGTTAATATACAAAAATTATTGGGGAATTCTCTTCCCATAAAGTCAAAATGAAAAGATTTAGTTTAGGATAATTTCCTTTAAGTGAAAACGCACCAAACTTTACTACACTTCCCAAGATTCTTTTGCAATCTTAAATTCTATATATCTAACACTGACTGTACACTTCATATGGAGGGAAAAATAATGTCCAGACTTCTGGTTTCTGCCTCTAACTGGCAAAGCAGGGCTGGGGCTGCTGGAAACCAACTGGAGATGCAGACATTCACTGCAGACTTGAATGACAATGGATTTTCCTTACTATCAAATATTTTACAAAATCAAGGCAATTTAACTGTACTCAGGATGACATCTGTTCTCATGGCATGCAATTGGAAAGCTTTTGAATTCTTAGCAAACACTGTATTTTATGTTATAAGTAAGAAAAGCATGTCAATATTAAGCATGCCCTCCCTAAAATCCCTGCCCTGATCTGTGAGAAGCTGCAGGGTGACTTGGGGTACCTTGGCACTCAGGAACACGGTCTGGTGGAAGGTGCTCGTGGTCACTTCAGTCACCACATGCTCCTCATCAAAATGGACTGAAGGGTCATCAACCAGATGCCTTTTCAAGGGGCTGTAGAGAACGCTGAAATTTTTAATGAAGTTCTCTGAAATAAAATTGATACATATCAAAGTTATTATGGTTTTGCAGAGGTGATTTTGGTACTTTTTGCTTTAGAATTCAGAAGAACTTAGCGAGAAAATACAGACTGAAATCTGGTTTCATGTCATTAATTTCTGACAGTTTGGTATCAACTCTTGAGTAACACCAACTGAAGAATTGTTTTATCAAATAGAAACGACTTTGTGCTTGTATTTCCAGCATAAAAATTAGGCCCAAGTAAAACTGGCACTTTTGTACAGACATACAAAATACCAGATCAGCAAGTTTATCTCTGAAATGTGATCAGCAGTACATTTAGTTCCTTATTTACTATTCAGCATTTCATTTAAATCTCACACCAGGCCAAAAGAGGCTTTTTTTTTTTTCAGATCTCCAGACTTGGAATATGTAAGCATGATGAAATAGTAATGAAGGAAAAGGGTTAATTAAAATAAAATAATTATTCCTGAATTTCTAGAAACCATCTATAATGACTGAGGTCTGACAAGGGTATTAAGCACCAATTAATTTGTTTTGATATTATGAAATATTAAGTTCAAATCTGAAGCAATTAAAATAAAAAGCACAAAAACCAATCATAAATCAGAGACTCCTTAATAAAATATGTAGAAGCAAAAGTTTTCTGGATGTTCAAATGATGGACCAGCAATGTACTGAATATTACTCTGCAGAGAAACCCTCATCATGCTCAGGAAATCCTGTGACCTAAAAAATGTTTGAGACAGAAAGTATTGGGAGCACAAAGGGGAAGGAAATTTCTATGTCCTCATTCTGATCTTAATATTTCCTAAGTATCCTTTTATGGTCACTGAGGTTTTTGTTTGTTTTTGCAGAGTCTTTTCCTGGGCTGGGATAGAGAGAGGATACAGGGCTGCATGTGAACCTTAATAAGAACATGGCTATTTATTCTATGTTGTGCATCTTTTTGTACTTAGATTTATGGCAAAAAGGAAATGTAATTGGTGCTATAAGAATTATAGTGATATATGTTCTTGAGCAATTTATTTTAATAGCTGAAATTTCTTCCATGTTAACTTACATAGCCAACATTAGGAAACTCAGTATTTTCTGAAGGTACACTCAGTTTTGCACATCAGCATGACAGGCAAATGCACACAGGAATATTGTGCCTTATTCACAAACTTGCAAATAAATCACAACTGCAATCCTTGAGTTGTTCTGTCAGGTTTTTTTTGCTTTGTTTGTTTTTCTGGGTGTCTTTTTTTCCCTCCTCCAATTCAGACAGGAAATAACAATAATTGGCAGATTTGGCCACAACCACTTCAGCGCTCTACCTTGTTACCTTGAAAACAGACACACTTTTCAACATAAATTTAAAGCAAGTTGGTTTCAGAGGACAAGAGGATGGGGAAGTCTCTGCTGCTAAGTGGTCAGTATGTCCCAAAATTCTAGGATATTTTAGAACACAGAAGACCTGAGCAAACACCAACACCACCATTAATATACAAGCACCTTCTGTAATCAGTTATTTTAGATGAACAGAAATTTTTTTCCACACACAAGGTAATTTAGATTTTACCAATTCCACCAAAGCAAGCAGTCAAGAATCACACATTTTAAGGTGAATTCTTATAAAGTAAATTACTTATGGTATAAGGAACTTAGCTCTTATGTCACCTAGAATATGATTCTGTTCTAGCCAATAGAATAATTCATAAATGCTTAGTTAACTACTAAACAGAATAGAATAAATTACAATTCACAGTGTTAACTTCACAAAGTAGTCTCACTTTTACAATGGCATTAAATTTTCCATTCCTGCTTGGAAACGCAATTTTCTGAATGCAAGCATTTGTATAGTGAATACTGTACCTAGGGTAGGTCCAACAAGTGACTGATTCTGGTCCAGAACATAGTGCACTTCTTCTTTCAGGTCAACAATGGCAGCAAATTCCTTAAGATGAGTAGATCTTGATGCTCCTAGTCTCTCTGCATATATCCAAAAAAGATTTGAATCCAGTAGATAGAGATTCAAGGTTTTGTTGGTCCTGCAGCTCAGACCAGTAATGTTCATGCTACTAATATTAAGGTCAGGAATAAAACAATTCCTATCCTCAATGTGAGGAATAGAAAATTGAGTGTTATCTTTCTTCCCATGGGAAGAAAATGCTACTTTGGGGGTCTCAAAGATGGTCTTCTCAGAACTCATGAGACTTAAAAAATGCCTGTTTACTGTCCTGCAACATGCAGTGTAATAGCTAAAGGGACTATAGAAACTTAAGAAATTGCTGCATTCTATGGTATTTGATATTACTTGAAAAAAAGTATGTTCCTGGAGGTAGAAAGAGTCCAAAGCTGCTTCTATCTCTAAAAAGTTACAGTGTGGCACATGGACTTTATTTGGTTTGACACCAAGAGTCTGGTTAACACAGAGCTCACAGACATTGTGGGTTCTGGAGATGGAGTGCCACTGTGGAAGCACCACCGTGTTACAGCACGGGTACTTGGCTATGGGAAACGTTTCAGAGAACTTCAGCTGTGCATCTGTCACTGAGGAATCAAAAGCTGGTGAATCAGAGTCTCCTGCAGGCTGAAGGTCTGCCTCAGCTGCTTGGCTTTTATTACACTTGTGGTATTCCAAGGCCACTTTGGTAATCTTAAAAGAGAGAGAAAAAAAAATCAAGATTAACTGTACATAGTTCACCCAAATGCAGTTATCTTTTGCAGGCTTAACAAAATTATATGCAATTAGAGATGGAACTTCAGAAACACTAAGTTGACTAATCTTTGTTCTTTCAAATAATTACAGGTGGCTCTGACTTAACAAAAGTTGAATTTTCATATATTTCAGCCTATAAACATTGAATATATAGAACAACAAAGTCAATTTAAAATAATACTCAGTTCATCACACTGATTGCAAGGTCCTCCATGCAACAGATTTACTACAGTGCAGTAACACTACATGTTATGGTTAAACCCACTACACAAAGCATTACTGAGTAGAGGTTCCTGAATTTCATTCATTTTCCAATAGGAGGAGAAAATACACGAAAGCATTCCCAAATGAAAAGGGAATAGAGATTTCTTCTGGCATATGGATAGTGGCACATGGATTTTGTAACAATCACATGTTTTGTAACAATCAGAGTGCTGAAGCAATGTTTGTATTCTCCCAACCACGGGCAGATAGTTGTAATACTCCAAGTGTATTCTGCACATTGTAACTTACTGGGAGAAGAAAGAAAATAAGAAAAAAAACAACCTGTCCCTCCATGCAAACATTTCTACACTACATCACCAGTTTGCTTTTCATAACCAAGGGTAAACAAGCAGAGAAAAAGGGACATGTATGGACCATATAAGGAATTCCCTTTCTGGGAGACAAGTAACAGAACATGCAAGGAAGAAAAATGAGAGAGGAAGTCTCCTATCATTCTTATTAGCACACTAACAAAATACAGAGCATCACACACTGCTTACAGGAGAACACTTTGACAGAAACCATTAAAATTAACAAAGGTATGTTGAAATGTCACATCCTGGAGGGCTGTTGTGTCACAGGACCCTCAGTATTAATGTGGTCTACAGCAATGCTTTGTTACAGTCTTCTAGAATTAGCTGTTAGAAATTTTCATCCTGAAAAGGCTTAACTGAATGCTTAAAAAAAACTTGGCCCCTCACACTGTAACCTAGCCTGGAGATCTGGACTACCTAAAGAAGCTTGAGAAGAGATTATGAACAGAAAACCAGATATGCAGTAAGAAATCTCATTTCAGCGAGCTGTAATCAGAAAAAAATTTTTGCTGTGAGATTTTTCAACATTCAACTTGAGAGCCTTGTTCCCTGTAACTGCCTTTCAGTCAAGTGGTTTCACTGCTTGATGAAACCCACAGGCTGGCTGCAGTAAACAGCTCTTCCCAGGGCAAACAAGTTGCATAATATCTCCCTGTCAAAGTGAAGCTATACAAGGACAATGGGATTATTTTGTATCTCATTTCACATTTTGATAAACACTGTTATTTAGCAGAATGAAATTTGAAACGGAACATCCACCTTCTGCTGCACTGATTTGGTAGAAATAAGTGGTACCTGTTACTAGAATGTGTCATCTGTGACAAGCACCACTGAACAAAGCCTGCCAAACAGAAGACAGGTTACTACAAGAGTAATGGCAGTTCTTCTCCAGGCATACACTTCCCCAGTCCTATTTCATAGCAGTCTAGTGTACCTTTTATTGTGTCTATTTAGCTTGGCTAAATATTGCATAATAAGTTACTTTAATTTTTTCCTTATTGTTTCAGACATTGCAATATTAATTAGGCCTCCTTGTGGAAACTGCACATTCATGGACACAGATGCCATGTAAGTCAGCACTGTCACAAAAACTCAGCCCTGCTTTTGGTCTTTCACAAATGCTTGTCTGTTCCACACTGCTTAGAGCTACATGATCACACTGGGATGTACAGCTTTGTGTTATACTAAATTGAATGATGGGTTCCAGACGGAAAATAGCCCAGGGACAAAAAACTAGTTTTCATCCAAGTTAGTTTCCCTATCTCATTTCTCCACAGCCCCACAAACTCCTGTCCTAGGCAGTTCAGAGGAAGAGAAAATTGGAAGGTGATTAAGGAACACCCAGGATATAAAAATCAGATTGGCTCTGATTAGTTTGATTGGGTATTTCAAATAACACTGTCTGGTTTTACAAAAGATCCATTCTTCATTGCACAAGGACCTCTGGAAGGACAAGAGAGGAGAAACAGAATGGGGTGGACAAAACACTCAAGTCTTCAATTCTAGCTGGGAAAGATCTGCATCTCTTACACTGCACCCACCACAAAAAGTAGGAGGTCAAGGAAGAGTTAGGTACTTGTTCTGAACAGCTGTTGAATCAGGCAAAGGCACACTGTGTGAGATGCAAACCAGTGTAAGGGAGTTGTGATAATAAAGCTTGAAAAAGTGCTTCTAAACAAAACCAGATACTTGGAACAGAGAGCTAAAATGAGGTATGTGTCACAATTAACCTCAGACTCCTGACCACAGCTCTCATGTTTTAGTATTTTTGAAGTAAAAAAAAAAAAAAAAATTCACTTACTTCATCTAAAAGAGGATGAATTTCTGCTAGGGGATTATAAGGTATAAATATGAGAAGTGCTGGTCCTTTCTTCAGCTCATTGTTTAGAAGAAGGCTTTTTCCACCATGAGGTCTCAGCCAGCGGATGAGCATCTCCCGATTTTCCAGAGCCCACTTGCAAATGTTCTCAGCAGTGAAGTTCATGATGTCTTTTGGATAGATCTTGGAGGGGGAAAAAACAGTTTTGTTCTCACTTGATTTAGTAACAAATGCAGTTCTTCAGTATGGTATGAGTTGTTACTGTGGTGATTAGAACTTCCTTTCAAAATGCATGTGTCAGCAAACTGCAGCATTTCATACAAGCTTTCCCTCTGGGAAAGCTTTCCAAATGCTCATCAGATTACAGTAACATCCACAAGCAAAAAGGATTCTACCAGGGAAGCTCCTCTTTCTTTTACTACATCTTTACAATCTTGACTTTTCTCAATAGTCTAAATTTTCTTTGTAAGCAAAAGAGCTTTAAGCTGGTATCATAATATATTTTAATTTAGGTAAAGTTAAAAAACATTCTTCCCACTATTCAGTCACCATATTAACTCATTTTAAATTAGCCTTTTAAGACTCAAACATCAAGGCTGCATTTAAAACTGGTATTTCTCATTCCTGAATGCAAAGGAAAGAAGTATATCCTAAAAGGTGCTCACAGGTTCTAGGATCAATTTTAATATATTCAGGCAAGTTTACCTTAAGTAATTAGCAAAAAAAAAAATTTTTACGTATTTTATGCTATTTCACCCAAAGCCCTGTTTTCCATAGTCTCAATTGAATAAAATACACATCACAATACCTGTTTACACTCATGGTGCCTGTGTGGCTAGGTAGTGTCTCTATGCCAAATAGTAAATCTGAAAGTTAGTATTTTCAGCCTTAACTTTTCAAATGCAGGGCACATGGATTGTTAATATAAATTAATTTAATTTAATTTGTGTGATTTGTCTAATCAGTGCCATGTTATACCTTTAAGCCAAACTGGAAGTTTTCACCATTCCTATTATTCCTCCACAAAATCGTTGTCAATATCCTCATTCAAGTAGTTTTCTAACTCTGATCCCTGAGCATGCCTGTACCACATCAGAGTTCCTACAGCACACAGGAATACTCACAAGAGATGTGTTGGCATGTCTGTGCAAATACACACTGCCAGAGTGCACCAGGGAGATCTCCTCTGCCACACGCTTATCCGTGACCACGCCGAAGCGCATTGTGCCAAGGTAATCTGAAAGGTTTGCAATCTTTGAAAACAATTACACACATTGAACTCCCCTGGACCACCACCCTCAAACCAGAACACACAACAGTGCTGGGTAAAGGCACAAAAATCTGTGAAGAGCTACTGCCAACACTGGTGATTACAGCAGAAGAAAGATGGCAAGAAGCACAAACATGTTCCCCTCCTGCACTCCAGGTATAGAGACCTGTCTGTGTAACCTCAATTGTCCAAATTCTCCATTTGGTTAGGAAATACAGAATGTTGTACCACAGATGCACCTTGCTGTGGTTTATGGCATCTCAATAGCCAAGATGATTCATGTAAGGGAAAGGCATGAACATTAAGTGATGCACATTTACAGTAAATATGTATCATTTATAAATATATATTATACACTTATAAATATGTACACATAAAGAAAGACTGCTTATCTTTATGTTGCAAAGAACTAATGCCATGTACAAATGTGAAAATCAAAGAGCAAAGTACAGAACAGGCTCTTTATCACATCACTGGCACAGTAAAAAATAAGAATGAGTAAGTATGAATAAGAAAAAATAAGTATGAATCTCCTTCATTTGCTGACAGGAAGAAAAATTCAAAAAACATGTTAATTTTTAACTTTAAGAAGGGTCTATCCCAAATTCATGACTCAAAAATGAGGTATCAATCATCACAAAGTTTGCATGTTTAAACACAATCAAGAGGGTTTGTATTTTAGATTATCTGTGCAAAATAAGAGGGAGAGAAAGGCCTTCTCAGGCTGCCTTGCAGCAGCTCTGTAACTCCACCCATCACTGAATTCAGTTTCCAAGGGCTGACACAGTCCAGTCCATCCCAGTGCCTGTGACACAGGACAAAGACTCCTGGATTCACTGTAACCAAGTGCCAGTCTGACTATGGCCCTGGATGGGCTGCAGCTACACGTGGGGGTCTGAGGGAACTCTCTCCTGGTGTAAACCAGGCTGATCACATTGCAAACTTCTTATGTAAGCAATCCTCAACTATAACGAGACACTCACACAGTTAGAACACCAAGAAACACTCAGAAGGGATTAATTCCTAAGTTACAAAAGATTGCAAAAAACTACTGAAGCACTTAGACATAACCCATTCACAGACACCTTAAATTATGAAAATAGAGCTTTTACCTTTCTTTAATGAATGTAATGCTGATGTGAAGAATGTTAAATAACCAGGCGGTTGAGGTGAAGCATTGAACTCAAAAAATCCCACAACTCCAGGCTGAAACAATAAGAATTAGAGTTAATTAAGCCATTTTCAAGTATAATATATGAGACTACAGTAAACACAACAGACTCTTAAAAGACAACAACGTTTAGTGAAGAGCAGTCACTTTATGCTGCAACAAAAATTTTAATATTAAAAGACTGAATGGGAATCAGTTCTCATTGAAAGAATGAAGCTGTCATTCAAAAGCTCAAGTAAGAGAGAGGGGCTTTATGGATGCTACATTTCTAATGGTGTTTCCCTTGTTGAAGTTCACCAAAAACAATTACTATTTTCTTTGCAACTACATTTTGAACCAGTTCCAGCACCAAGGAAAGAAGCATAAGCATCATAAAGGTTTTTTTAGAATTGGAATATCGAATACAATTTTTCAGAGTATAAAAGGCTTAAGCAATAATACTTTAATTGTTTATGTTGCACATAATTAGTATTTACACATGAATTCACACATTCAGTGTGTCAATACTTGACCTGCTAAGGTAAGTGATTATCCCATCTTTATGCTACAGTCACTGTAAACCCTTTCAGTATATCCTAAAGAGTCAGTGAGAGACCAACTGCACAAAAATCTTGAGAACTCCATATCCCACCTGCATATCCATAAAGCTCTTCAAATTGCCAGACAGACAATTCCAAATTTAAAAGACTCATCCCAGAACAGGCCTACTGATTTTTCCGGTGAATGACTTCCTATTAAACTCAGGAGAGAATCTGGGAGAAGGTGACTTGGAAAAAAGAGGTACACACTAGATTTTTTTCATTCCAATATTTCATTGAGCTTTGGTTTTAAATTTTTAGAAATATAATCCATTAAAAATTACTATTAATTATGTTTGTGACTCATCACTCAAATGGGCTTAAGTAACTTTCAGGACAGACTAAGTGATGGCATTTGGTTATTTGGTGTTATTTGTTCCTCATTTCCAGCAGTGCATACAGAAGGCATTTGACACACAAAGCAAGAGCACTCCAGGGACTGCTGTGGAACAGAAGATTCCAGACTCACCTGGCACCTATTTGTGTGGCAAATACATCCTCACAGGAGGATTTTCATTTGGTACTTCAGAGACTGCTTGGTTTGTTTTTTTTTTTAGCTCTATATATAAAATTTAAATTTATTTTTAAAACATGAACATGCATTTACCTGTTATTATTAATATGAATTCAGTGATTCATATCAGCCTAACACACTGATCTAATTCAGTACAATTAGCAATCTTGAAGACGTTCACCAATAACAACAATTCCCATTCCAGCTCATGACTTCTCTTTTTAGGCATGAATCCTCTTTCATGGATGAATGCTAACCATAAACTCCTTGTTCATAAAGATTCTTTGTGAGGTACCCCAAAAAAATTATCAATAACAAAAATGAGTTACAAGCAATTAGAGAAATTGCTGCACCAATAATTACCACGAAGAAAATAAAAACAGAAATAAAATAGTAGCCAAAAAACACAGCAAAATAATAGCACTCAGTGTTCTTTTTTAAACAACATACAGGTTAGTAATTAATGATCATCTTTTTCTCTTAGTTCCAAACTAAGACAGTAAAAAGAAATAATTCCTTCTGAAAGACTTTGAAAGCATTCAACTGAATGAAAATAAGGAGACAGGTAAGATAATCAAAATTTTAGCTTCCCATTGCCCAGGACCATTTTTGAATACTAATCTTGTACCAAGTGAATTCAGGACACCAAACAGTGAATGAAAGGAAAGTCAGAAGTGACAGTAAAATGTGGCAAGAAGCCAGAAGTCAGATGCAGAAGTATTTATAATGTTATTTAAAAGGTAACATTCTGATTCAGAGTGACAGTTCTGCTTTACACTAACAGAAGCTTAAGATTTCCAGATTGTGAATGTTTCCCAAAAGATAATTTTTGTAAATTGTTTTTCAATTTTAAAAAATTGTAGTTGGAGAATATATGCTACTATACACTACTATATATACTAGTATTTACTAATGCTCTATGCCTAATCAGTAATCTGGTTAAATAAAGTCCTTTTAATCATCATCCCAGACCAGTGAAAGTTTTTGCCCTGTTACAGGGTCCAATTATACATAGGACGAAAGGGACTAAATTACTGTATTTCTTCTCAAGTACCAAGAAAGTTTTCCTGCCTGTAAGAATGAAGTTTTTAACAAGACTGAATGCTTCCAGGTATTGCAACTGATAACAATTCTTGCTCTGTACAAGTGAGGTTCAAGTCTCACAGAACAGGTATCTCAATGTGAACAAGAAGTTCTTGGTTTGGAATACAAGTAGGCCAAGAAGAGCTGAACAGCAACAACTCCCACCTTCTTCCATGTAAGAGCCTCCAAAACTCAGGAGCAGCTGGAGCAAACAGTTCAGGAGGAATCTACCCAATGTGTTACTGAGGAGCAGCAGGGTGCAGCTCTGGGTACCCACCTTCATGTGAGCACTCAGGAGCCATCAGCTGAAGCTGCTGCTGCCTAAGCCAGAGGAATAAACACTGACATGTCCAAGGGTACTTAGGAGCACTAGGAGCATGGGCACTGCTAGAGTGGAGCTTGCTGCAGCTCTTCTTTCCAGGAAATGATTTTCAGTCCCTGTCTCAGACCAAGTGTCTGTAGGAAAGGCTTTGGAGCAAACCTGAGGATGTCCATTAGTGAAGAGTTCTTAGTGCTATCTCCTAATGAAACTCACATATGGAAATACAAAATCATTAATTATAGGGAAGCCTATTTCTTGCTTGGTCCCTACACCACAGGAATGGAAAGTGATGTGGGATACAATTAAATCAAGTAAGAGACTTACCAAGCATCTCAACAATTACCAAAACGCAAGTTCATGGAAACTTTAAGAATGAACAGAGATTTTCAGATGATTAATTTTTATTGGAGAAAAGCTAGCAGTGTTATTACTGAACCATGCCTCAAACCTATCACAACTTGTAGAAGGAATAAGCAAGCATGTAGATGACTCCATGCAGCAGGCTGTAATTCCCTCAAGTATAGAAGAAGTTACCAACCACTCCTGAAGAAACTAAGATGATAAGAAATAACATGGAAGGCCCTTTTCCAGCTTAAGAAAGTAGGAAAGACAAAAAACATTTAGAAATTATTGTTTTTCAGCAGTCAAAGATAGCCAGCCAGGATGTGTACTGATACTCAAGCACTTCAATATTTCCATAAGTACTTTAGAAAAGGGAGAAAAGGGTGAGTAACAACACTCACAAAGGTTGATGGGAGTCACTGAAACTACAACTGCCTTGAAGAGTTTTAGAAAGGCAGCATTAAATGACTGTGAGGAAAAGGCTCTGAAATTTAAAGGCCAAAAAAAGTGAAATGATGGGAACAGAAGATATGAAAAAAACCCCAGCTACTAATTAGTTTACAACTGCATAAATGTTTTTAATACTCCAGTTACTTCTATCCAAATTTGTAATTTAAAAAAATGTTTTGGCTATACTGCATTGAAGCAAGGGAGGTGATTTTTTTCAGACTCTCAGGCTTGTGCAGGCAGGCAATTCCTGCCTCATTTTATCTGTGAACATGGGAAGGCCAACAGCAAGAGGAAAGGAATGTGTCTTCTCTGGGGAACAGAAGAACCAATATTACATACCACTATATTTGTACTGTAGAAATGCAAAGAAACTGTTGACTGAGATTAAATTTACATTTAACATCATTTTCCAATGATGTTAAAATCATTGTGTACCCAGACCTGAAGCAAATTTTCCCACCATCATTTAACATAGGCACCACATGAAAGCCAGCTGAATGTCTGTCTGTGTCAGATCTCCCAGCTGCTGATGCTCGGGAAGCATTCCTACACAGAGAGCAAAGCAGGAAGCTGACATCATGTTAAGAGACACAGCAGCCACCTCCCAGAGAGACCAACTCCTCTCCTACTGCTCCTGAAGCCAGGAAATGATGGATTCCCTGAGCACATTTAATATTCATAAATGAGTGAAGCTTTTTGTCTAACTACAGTGGCTTCCTGTTTCCTCCTCTGTGCCTCAGGAGGCCGAGGCCATTTCTAGCAGCTGGGGCAGTCAGATGAGGAATGAGACATGCCAGTTTGGATTAAAATGAAACTGTTACATCTCTGCAGTTAAGAAAACAAAAGAAATTTGATTACAGGTACTCACAGGTACCTTGAGTTATGTCAGAAACTGCACATCTTCCTGCTCAAGATTTTAACTGCTTTCCAAATGGCACATTTTCCTTGCTCTCAAAAATTAATTCGTATCCATTTCTAGTTTTACACTAGTATCATTCCACAACCCCCAGAGAATGCAGGAGCTCAACTTTCGAGTCCTCAACCAGGCTTTTTCCATGGGGATTGAGCGCCCTCTAGTGAGAGCAAGTGGCATGTCACGACAGTCGTGATTCGGTCGAGGAAGGAACCAAAGACCGAGTAACAAACACCACCGGTTCTTACATTTAACTGGATTCTGTTCATCAGGATCTCTTCTGGTCTGCAGAACCCTTTTGCTACCAGAACACAGGACTGAAAATTAGATAGTGATGATGACAAATCTTGCAAATTATTTTGAGCTTGAAATTAATTAGTTTTTCAGTGAAATCACAAAAACACGATCAACCAGCAGAGAGCTGCCAAAGTGCCCAACAGCAATCCTTGACAGTCCTCTGTCCTTTCTCTTCTGCTAAAAATTAGTATTTTTTATACAGAGAAGATCAAAAGTCAAAAGAAGACACTAGCCAAGGGTCTCAAAATAGCAATTAGTTTGTGCCATACATGTCCCAACTGCCCATAATCTACTCTATTCCCCAAACTTTCTCCCTTAAACACAGGACTAACCCCTGGATTGTATCTTCTCCTACAAAAGGTATCAATTCCTGAACTCATAGGAAAAACATTGTAAAACATTCTCATTTCTGACAGAAGTGATGAAACAACCTGTTTATTTCCAGTTTAAAACTAACTTTTCCTTTGTGTCTATGGCTTTCTCTGCGTCCATCTTCATAAACAATTATGTTTCTTTCATCTTATCTGTATCTGCTACTTTTGTATCCCCTCCTTCCTCTCTTGCATAAATTTACAGAGGCAAGAAAGACATTGAGCACCTTGAGCCATGGTCTGGGACAGAACCTCAGGCAGAAATGACCATGGGGCAACATGAACAGAAACAGCCTCTACCAAAAAGCCAACAAATGCTGAGCATAAACAGCAACTCAGCACTTGGAGCCACAGAATTTCAAGCACAGGAAAGCGGTAAGGCCTGAATGCAGAAACAAAAATATCCGTTCAACTGCTAAGCAGTATTTAAAAATATCTTTGTTGCTCCTAAATTTGTCTTTTATCTTAGTCTTTTTCCAGTGGAAGTGCACCTCTAACTGCAAAGCAAATTTAAGCTTAATGACAATATGCTCATTGGTAACCTTCTGCAGTCTACCAAGAAATAACATAACACAAACCAAAAACCAAGCATGGCTTTCTTCAAATCTCTGTAAGAGGCAAAGAAATGTTTCAGAATTTTAGAACAGCAAAACTGAAGCGATGGAAGGACAAGAGAATTGCTTGTGATCACATCAAGTACCAGCATCCAGAGACAGGCCACAACTCACTGTCCCCACTTAAAACACTGGAAAACCAAAGCCAGTGGTAGTTCCTGGTATGAACAGCACAGCCCCCACCCAGGGGAACTCCCAGTGTGTGTCCCCTGGGCTGTGGCAGCTGCCACTGAGCAGCACAGGCCATGCTCCATCCTGCAGCACAGGCAGGCACTGCAGTGAGCAGCACTCACACAGGCTCTGCTCCAGCCCCAGACACTGCAGGGTCCCTCCCATGCTCTGCCCACTGCCACAGCACTGATTTGTTGATCAGTTTTCCACACTGCTCTCACAGCTTGGGCTTTAGTAAGATTATGGTACTTCAGCACTCTGCACTGCGAGAATCAACAGTTATAAAGGGATTTTAAATGGCTCTGTTGTAAGCATATTTTGTCTGACTGGAAGTTATTATTCCACCAGTATTGCTACTAATCTCATCACCCCTGAACACAAGAGACAAAAATGAGTAAAACAACATGTACCAGTGGATTAAAATCATCAAATTACCACATACAAAGTGATTAGGAGCCCTTGCTTCAACTAGTTTCATATTTGTTCTCAGTTAAAAGACTTATCCTACTAGAAGAGCTTACTATTCTTTAAAAATTAAAGTAATGATTACATATTTCTCAAATGCTGTGCCAACTTAAGACCGCAAGATTTTTGTGAAAAGATTTCTCCCTTCTTTCTTGTTTGTACGTAACATTTTGGTGAGATAACAACTTTGTTGTCTCTACATACTGAAGTAATGTAAATTAAGAGCATCACTAGATCATAATAGTAACTATACAGGGAATCAACATTCATATTCTAATGATTTTAACAAATTTATAGGGCACTGATTTCAGGATCCTGAAAATAAACTAGTACTTTGGAGCAGATCAAATTTAATCCTTAAACAAGTCAAACTCTTTCTGAACCACAGTGGTAAAGCTAGAGAAGAGAGACAAGTACCTCATAATTTGAGAGGAAATCTAGTAATTTTGATCGAGACGAGATGTAGAGTAGTGGTGTCATCACCCGGCGAACAAACTTTTCAATATAAACAGCACTCATAGGGCCTTTGTATTCAATTGGTCCAAAACTAGTACCAAAAAAAATAATAGAACATTAAGACTTAAATTAACAGTAGAGAGTCCCTCCTGGGGGTGGCAGATAGGAGTTACACAGACAGCATGCTCAGCCTCTAGGGAATTGCTCTCTGTTTTACCGGTGGCTGCTATAAGTGATGAGGGAGTTGTGTTACCAGAGGGAAGCTCCAGAGTATCTGTGGAAGGGGCAGAGTGTTGGTGATATGCAGGGATGGAGATCACTTCTGAGTCCCATTAAAGAACTTGGTAAAACTCAGATATAAATTACATGACCATATACATATCTTTCCACTTTTTCTGAAGTAAACACATGAGACTTAAAAATACAGATCTGAAAAACGTCACTATTTTCCCTTGTTCTTTCAGTGTCTCAAACAGCATCAGTCTGAAAAGGTGCAATGTTTTTACACAGCCTTTTATGAGCAGCAATCAGTAAAGCAGGGACAAATTCAGTTGCACTGCTGATGAAGAGACTCAGCAAAGCTCCAGTTTCCCCCTCAGCCATATGATAAAACAGCTCACACAACGTTAGTGCTAAAACAAGGTGGGCTGGAGCTTGCAGCTGCGAATTCCAGAGGATCTCCTCCTAATTATAAATGGACTGGGCACAGCATTATTGTCCCACATGAAATCAAACACAAAGAACATAAAGAATTAGTCCATTTCCACTGAAGAATTTAATGTGATGCATTTTTAATGTAGCTTGTACATACAGATAGACTGGAAAATACCCAACTCACACTGAGATACCTGTATTGAGGTGCTTCAAAATGGTCTCCTAGAGCCCACTAGATCATTCTACATCCTTTATCAATTTATTACAAACCTCTGTGTTCACAGCAATACTCACTGCTCAGCATGTCACATGCCCAGGGCACCACATGTGAGGTTTAGTATCTGAGGCATGAGGGGTGCACTGCCCTTCAGGATTTTATGAAGTATCAATAGGGATTTACACCTCATCTTGTTACAGCTCTGTTTAAGGTTACTGATGATACCAAGTGCATCCATTTACTGTGTTGTAATTTCAAGGTCAAGTAAGTTTCAGTCAAAGTAGATCCAAGTGGGATTATAGGGTTCTTTTATTACAGCTTGAATTATTATACCAGTGTCTTGTGTCTATTACATGGTCAGCTAACAAAGACCAGGACTGTTCCTCCTCAATGCATAAATTCCCCCCAAAAAACAAAATCAGCCTCTGTAATGAAAGAGAGCTGCAGTTCAAGACTAGTAAAATAAAAAGTAAAATACAAGGGATAAATACTTTCATGTAGTTTTAGAAATTGTGTTTCCTTACCTTCTGCTCCACACAGAGAAAAAAAACAGATAATACATACAAATACTAAAAAATAAAAGTGAGGGTATGTAAAATTTTATACAATGATATCTTAGCTTTCGGGGAATAAAAACGTGAGTGCAAAGTTCAAAATTAGAACAAGGTCCTCACTATGTAGTGCAATTTAAATATGCACTTAAATTCCACTAACTTCAACAACCCTTAGGTACATTCTTTAATGCTGTCATAAATTAGGACCAGTTGTTATAATCCATCCAGAGAGCAAGCAGACATCTGAAATTAATATGTAACAGTGAATTCTGTTCATTGGAGGCAGAAGTTCCAGGAGATGCACAGGCAACCCAAAATTTCCATAAGGATGAAGAATTGCCCAGTGTGCCATTAAACTGACAATTACAGCCCTACCTGGCACTTGAGCAGCATACAGGATGACCTCACCTAGAATCTACCCAAAAACTATTTACTGAAGCCAGAAATGTAACATTTTCAAAATGGAGCACTTTATATGATACCTCTGTTTCCCAAAAGAACAATAAAAAACCTAGACTGTACATATGAAATCTTACCTTTGATGGTACAAGTGTATCACAGGAAAATAAAAGAAATGCTTCTGCTTCCTGCATTTCCCCTGGTTCCACCAGCAATTTACAGCCACAAACAGCACCTGCAAAGCAGGTAAAAATTCAGCTAACAAAGAACATTACTGTGACCTACTTTATCCAAGATGTACTCGATGTACTTTTCCCGATCCATTTCCTCTGATATTTTCAGGGCCTTTTCAACTCAGTATTCCATATCTGTCACAGACAGACTTTTTTTAATTCTTTTTGTCATTTTGCAACAGCAATCCTTTTGGTCACCGTTCTTTCTAGCTTTTACGCCTCTTAATCTAAATTGTTCAAATTTATTCATTTAATCACAACCCACATTAATTACTTTTTCTGCAGAGTGGAGCTCAACAAGTGGAGGTTTAGGACAGCTGTGCCTCTGAAATATTCACAGGCACTCAACTGTTTGAAAGCACTGTTATGGTTACAATATTTATATGATTACCAGTGTCTCCAAGGATCCCAGAACTGGAAGCAAACTCCAGGGAATTTCTGTCAGAAGGCAGGTGAACAAATCTGAAAACACTTTACAACAAGAAAGTTGTAGCCTTCCCCATTTAAAAGCAGAAATAACAGACAATTGAGCAGGAACCACAGGCTGTCTCCATTTATTGTACCACTCTGTAAGCTAAATTAAATTTAAGATGACTGATGAGTTTCCCTAAAATGTGAGTGTTCAAGTCCTACTGTTTCTCATGAGAAGACAGACAACATCATCAGCTTGGACACTGAAAAGCTACCAGGTGATGTTTAAGATTGGTATTTTCTCTGGAGTTACCTGGTCTGACAACCTGCTGGCCACGTGTTCTATCTCCTCCCTGGCTGCGATGGACTGCCCGCACCAGGGCGCGTAGAAGAAGTAGAGCACAATTTCTGAGTCCTGCCGGAGCTGCTCTGCGTAGTCCAACTGCCCCCGGAACAGATCAACCACTGCAGATCTCGGGGAGAAAAAATTCACTGGAAGCTTCGCTGGCATTGTTACATCTTTTGCTCGGCTGCAGGAAGAAAATTAAGAGTGGTTATTGAGACTGTACAGCAGCAGTTAAAAAAGGGTGCCCAAGGCCCTAAGTTTTATTCTTAGCAAAAGTCACACAATGACAAAATTGATGCAGAATGACTACAGTTTATGTTATCTGAGTTAGTTTCATGAAATACTATAAAAATCTAAAGATCACCCTTCACAAGCTTTAGAAACTCACACTCTGATACCATGCACTGTGCTTATGGGTATGTTAGCTCACACTCTAATGGCTGGTTGCTGTAGAGCATAAAATTACCAGAAAGAGTGATTTCTTTTGATTTCTTCCCTGGCCTCATCCTCTTTTAACACTTGTACCTTAGGTAACAGCAGCCTGATAAGAAAAGAGATACTGGTCATAAAGTTTTGTGATGTGTTGTTTATATAAACAGAGCCTATTACCCTGCCTTATGCTTTGTTTTACAGTATTCTATACTCCCTTTGCTTTATATTCTATTAGGAAAAGATATATAAATATGCACTAGTTTATTTTACTGATCAGAGGAGGGACTGCAAACTGCTCAGGGCTCATCACAGTATAAACAAATAGTCTAAATTTAAAGAGATTATGAGATGGAGTTTTTTAAGAGAAATCAGATTGGCCACTAAGTAATACAAAGAAATAAACCAAATACTCAGGAAACCCTTTCTATCCAATCAGCCATCAAACAATCCAGAATTTGGGACTTCCCAGGTGTTCAGAAGTTGCCATGCTATAATCTGCCTTAAACACAAGTGAATGTGTGACTCTCTTTTTATACAGTCTTCATTTTAAAATTTTTCCCTAGCTATATTTACACTAGAGTAAGCCAGACTGAAAACTGGACAACACTGTCATGCTCAATTTTGCCATGGCTCATAACAAGACTGGAAGTTTTAGGAAAGACTGTGTATTCCTTTACTTTGTGTGCATTTCTTTTACTTTCTTGCAATAAAAAGCCACTATAAAAATCTTATTATCTGATATTTGATCTTTGTGAGGTTAAAATTTTATTAATTGTGATAAAATTATTGAGTCCTGAACACTGTCAACCTCATATATTAAGCAACCTCCTAAAAACTCTGCCACATTTTCAAACTTTACAATCTATCTAATTTTTAAGAAGTATCTTTGTCTTTATAATACAGCAAAAACCTGTATTGTAGCTTGTCTCTTCATTTCCAGGCTACTCACTTAAGCTTTAACATTTTAGAATTGCCCTCAGTACATATCACAAGTTACAAAAATTCTTAATTTGTATGTAAAATTGCTTCAAAATCATATCTTCAAAATCAGAATTTTGAAAATTTTAAATGGTTCCTCCTGTTTATAATTCATTAATTCATCCAGTCACAACATTATGTTTTTACACAGATTATCAAAAATCTACTTTCTTCTATGGACTTCTGCCTGTGTTCCTTCCCTTCTCCCCCAGACACCATCTCAGCACCTCCTTCCCAACCCTCAAGTTCTTCAGACACCTCACAACCAACACCTCTGGTTCCCTGCCATTCCTGCACCCATGCTTATCCAAACTGCAGCTTCTTGCCATGATTTCTGCCTGCCAGCTGGACAGGACACAGCTCAGGTGTGAGCTCTGGCACTCACAGGCTGATCAGCTGCTGAAAGCTCAATACTTCTTGAGAGACAGCAGCTAGAATTTCTCCTCTCCATCTAGTTTAATGAAAACAGACAATCTCAATATGATTAAAACCTCTGCTTCCTCTACTGAATTAAATAGAAAGAGGATGATTGGTTCAAGAATTACAGCCTAAGACCTAAAAATTAGATAATGAATTGGCTCCAAATTTTAAGAATGGGTAGAACACATCAGCAGAAATCCCGTGACATGAGTGAGTCAGAAACTACATGACTACCTTCAAATGTGACAAAAACTCCAGTAACTATTAAAATGAAAACATAATAAATCAATAGCTAACAGCTGCTTAAAGAGATTTGCTAAGCAGTGTCCTCCTCGGCAATACCAAACATATAATAGAATACCTTGACTAATTTCCCTAAGAACACCCCTAAAATTTACACACATATACACTGAGGATTACATAAGAAACATTACATAATAAGCACAAACTGTTTTTTAAAACACTAATTGTGTTATTTAGCTGCTGCCAGAGCCTACAAAAACTTAAGCTTTCTATGAGAACACCATGGTAATAAAGGGAAGCATATGCAAGTGCCAACAGGACCAGCAGCCCCTTTGATTGCACAATCCTGAGAGTGGGCTTGTTTTAAAGACATTTGCATAGTGCCAGAAATAATTCAGGTTCTAGACCACAGGCTTTCATACCATGCTAGGTCAGGTCTCATTTGCCTATTCCTTGAGTCACTCTAAACTTGCAAGACATCAAATCCGACTAATGGACTGCCTTGCAGTATAGGAATTTTCCCTTTCTGTACTTTTTATCCATTGATATAGAAAGTTATATATTGTAAGAACCAATGCCCTGGTGCTGTGTCTTGCTAGTAAATCATACTGACATGTGGTGAGAAACTATGTCCTGTACTTATAGTTAACATGTGCAATTAACCATGCTCCAAACTTCACAAGGAATGTTTACACCTAATTTTCTATATTTCTGACAGCAACCAAACAAGGAATACCTAACTGATATTAGTCTATTTAACCACAATCTGAAAAGCTGAACCCCATTAACCAAACTTCTAGATTACAAGGTAGTGAGAACCACATTCCAATCACATTCCATCGATGAGCTTTCAAACACAGCTAGCAGTAAAATGAAAGGAATATGCAGGTTTTGAATACAGGAGAGCAGGAAGCATCATTGTAAGTACAAAAAAAAGTATTATTTTCTTAGTAATGTAACACCAGGGAGGTCATTATGTTCAGAAATCCTTCACCACACATTGTGAAATACGGCAAGAGCTTTGCAATTTCATCTACATTATCAGGTCACTGTGAAATACAGCCTCCTGGAATGGAGGCACAGCTCCTCTGAGGCACTCATTGACAGACTTAAAATTCCCTCTGATTCAAGTAACACACCCTTTGTGGACAAGTAAGCAAAGAAAGCCTTAGCATTTTTCAGATGCATTACCTGTGAATCAAGTGTTTTGTGGAACAAAATTTGTCAGACACTGGGGAATAGGGACATTCCCCTCAGCACCTCGTAGCCTTCTCCTAATCTCAAAATTAAACCCCAAGTGCAGTCGATGTTCTTAATATAGTGTGACCTGGAGCACGTAACAGTCACATTGACCTAAAACCCATGCAGAATATTTAGAGCCTGGTTTAGGCTCCAGAACCGAGCAGCCTGTGCCCACTGCTCACTGCCGCTGCTCCCCGCCCTCCAATACAAACATGTCCTGGCTCCACGTCCACCAGCTCCGGGCAAACAGGAACTGCAGAGCCCTTTGCAAAGAAGGAAGTTCCAGCTCCCAAGAGGAGCACCACCAGACTGGGAGAGAAACCACCGAACACCTTCGTGTCCGAAGCAGGTGCAGGCAAAGGGATGATGTGACATCAACACCTGAGCCAGGACAGACTCGTTTGGCCACGCCGATGCCGAGAGCGCTGAGGGCAGGGCAGCGGCCCAGAGCCCGCTCGGCGGCAGCGAGAGGTCCCAGCTACCTCCGGAGATGAGCAGAAGCAGCTCCATCTCAACAACGTGCCTGTCACAGGGCCACAGCACGGGGCAGGCTGGAAGAGACCACAGTAGGTCCTTTGGTTCCACCTCCCCGCTCAGGCAGGGTCATTCCAGAGCACATGGCAGAGGATTATGTCCAAATGGTTTCGGAATATTTCCAGAAAGGGAGACTCCACAGCCCCACTGTACAATCTGTCCTAGTGCCCAGTCACTAACGAAAGAAGTTCTTCTTCTGGTTCAAGTGGAATTTCCTGGGCATCAGTTCCTGCCCATTGCCTCCTGTCACATTCCTGAGCCCTACCGAGCAGAGAGCCTGGTTCACCCCCTGACACCACCCTGCATACCCTGATGATGCCCTCAGAAGTGGGTGCCCCGCGAATCTGCCGCCACAGCACGACACCCGCGGTGGGGCAGATGTCTCTAAAACACTCCGCTCCCTCCCCACCCACGTTCTTATTGACCCTGCCCGCCCCGCTGCCATCCTGCTGAGGGAGACATGGCTGTCCCCCCAACACGCGACCGGTCCCAGCCGCCCTGAGGACCGCACGTGGTGGGGCCCGGGAGGAGGATCCGTCCCCCAGCCCGGGGCTGCCCGTGCCCGACGCGGCCCGGCCGCAGCGGGTACACGGCACCGCTGGGCGACCCCGGCCCTCCAGGCCCCGCCGGCGGCTCTGCCCCAGGCCCCGGTGCAGCACCGCCTCTGGGAACGGCGGCGGACCGGCGGCAGCTCCCCCCTGGCCGAGCCCCGGGTCCGCCCGCTCCCCCGCCGGTACCTGCAGGTGACTTTGAGGGCGATGAGGAAGGCGCAGCCCAGCACGATGGCCGCGCCGCACAGCAGCTCGGGCCGCCGCGCCATCAGGGCGGCGCGGGGCCGCAGTCGCGGGGCAGCCGCGTCGCCGGGGCCGCCGCACACCGACATGGCCCGGCCGAGGGGGGCAGGGCCGCGGGCCCCGAGCCGCTCCCGCTCGCACACGTCCCCCACCGCCCGCCCGTGAGGCGCGCCGGGCCGGGCGGGGCGGCCGCTCCTCCCGCCAACCCGCCGCCGCCACGTCTGCCCGCCCGAGCAGGCGCACACCCCGCCCGGCGCTCTGGGTCCTGCCCGCGGCGCCGGGAAAAGCGGGACGGGGATTGCTGTGCTCGCCTCCTGCGCTTGGCAGCGGGAGGAACGGGACGGCGATTGCCGTGCTCGGCTCCTGCTCTCGAAATCGGCACCGTTACCAGGCCCCCGGCCGGCATCAGCCGGTGGATAATCCCCGACCGCCCAGCAGCTACTATTCCCCAACAGCCCCACCCCGCAGCAGGAAAGATTTCACACCGGCCTTAGAGAACAAGGATGTCATGTTTAGTTTTGTCTAGAATTACTTCCAGTGATTTACAGAGCACTTACATTAAACAATGAAAGCATAAAATTGAGAAAACAATTCAGAAAGGCACACGATACAATCAGGTTTTGTCACACAAATAACAGTGTCCACAGTACTCTGTCTCACACTCACTTTATTACAAACAATGTAAAAAAATCAGCACTACAGCAGGTGGCATTTCCAGCACCAAGCTCGTGTCCTACTCCAGTGTCCCGAACCCAGCCTGGGAGGAGCAGTCACTTCGCAAGAGCCCCAAGCTAAGGCTGAAGCACACGAGGGGTTGGTTTCAAATTTGTTGTGCTTTTGTGAAGTGAAAGGGACACAGCATCCATGTCATGTATGGGTTATCACTGAACTTTGGTTCAACACTTTACACAGCCAACGTATGCCCAATGACTACATTTGAACTACTGAGGTCATTGTTAAAGCTCTTCTAATTATGTAAGGAACAGAGAAAAGTAACCGGGGGGGGGGGGGGGGGGGGAAGGGAGGAGAAAGGGAAGAAACCTAGTTTTAGTTATTTTGAATGAAAGGCTGAAAGAAACTTAGTTGGGGGAAAAAAAAAGGAAATAAGCAAACCCAAAGAAAGCAGAAAGCAGGATCTGCAGAGAAGCCAAAACACAACAGAAGCTCCAGGGACTGGAAAGCCCAAAGGCTCAGGAGTCAGGAGTCACCTCAGCCTGCAACTTGTTTTCCATTTCCTGTGCTCTGCAGGAAAGGCAATGGGAAGCACCATCCACCGTGCAGCTGAGGCAGTGGTTCATGTGTTCATGTCCATGTCCAAGGCTGAAAACGTGTCCCAGCACCACGTAGCTCCAAACTGCTTGCCTATATCACAACTTACTGGCCATTTCTGTTACTTCAGCGATGCCATGAGCTAATGACAATACAGAACTGCAAACGAGCCACTAGCGACACAAATACCAACTCAGTGAATGTTTAGCTACAGGTGCTCAAGCTTTTGCTAACTGGCAAATCATTGTTTTTACAAAATCTCAATCCTGAGAGGCTACATGCAGAAAACAGCTTTGTGTGAAGTTCTCTTTATTACAGGCAACATTAGTCCATACAATAATACACAATACTGACATACAAGTGTAATCTTTCAAAATCATCATTTAAACAGCAAAGACCAAGAAACAGAATTTTAACTACTTCATTTTCAAAAATTAATACTTTTTTCCTCTCAAGATCCTTTTTCAGTAAATTATATTGAAACATACAAATAGAGAAAAAATACCCATTCAACGTATATTGTAGTTAAATGGTTATTTTGTTTAAAATCTTTAATAAGAAAATCATTTTTAGCAACCTACATATAGATAAGTAGCAAACTTTGTTTTAAACAAATCCTCTCCATTAAAAGATCTGAAGAATTTTCATCCATCATTTTCTTAGCCCACTAACACTCTCTTTTGCAATACCTTGATACCTCGAAGTTTTTCAACTGAAGGTCTGAGACTAGGGGGCTTCCTAGATATTATAACCACTCTTCCCCCTTCTATTTCCTAACTTTCTGTCCAACAGGAGGTGAGTAAGCACATAATACTTCAGATTTTTTTAATCACCACTCTGTTTCATGAGAGCATAGACAGGTCTGCTCCATCCCCCTAAATCTACCATACTTTGCTGTTCAGGAGGAACAATGTATGCCAATAAAAGCAGAAAACCTGCAGCTTTTCTGTCACATGCTTTTGATTATTGTCAAATTTTCTGGTTTATGCTTCCAGCTGATAACATGTATGTGTCATCTCAGTATTAGTTTAAATCTTTAAACAAAAAACTATATTTTCCAAAGTCATTATCACTGGGAGCAATCAAGTGGTCTTTTCTTGCTTTGCTGAGTTTCATTCTTAAAACTTGTCTTCGTTCTTCCCACTCACGGAGTTCAGCATTTCCATGGGCAAATTTACAGTTGTTTCCTTCAGTGCAAGTACCAGCCATATATCTGTTAAGACAGATTTTGAACAGTTTTCACAGAAATTACCATGATCTCTACTGTGTCTATCTTTTCTTCAGGTCAAGTTTTTCAAATAAACTGCATAGTAAGGACCAAAAATAAATGGAAGAGTATATACTTTTAAAAGTTAGATGACACTAACTCTGTTTAGCATTTGGTTGTATTTTTGTTGCCCAGCTGACAAATATATACAGAGGGTAACAGATGGCTCTTTTCTTTCTATTCTTCATGTTCCTACTTAGATTGAGACACTTAATGCTTGAAATCATCAAGTTCATCATGTTAATGAATACCTCATCATTTAACTTACTAAGTTAAAGAATGACTATTGTTTAAAAAATCCAATTAATTAATTACCCTTGTTAACTAAATTTGAGATTAGAATATTCAGAGCACCTTAACATGCCAGTTTGTATTCACTTTATGCTGCATATCCAAGGTCTGTTACGTTCAAAGCAAATACATTTAGAATGCTACTTAGAAATTTAGTAAAGGGACATGTAAGTTTCCATGCAAAGACTGCAAATAAAAAAATAACTTGCTTTCTCTGCTATGCGGTTTCTCAAGATCTACAAGACACTCAAAATCTTCAACTGAAAATGGAATAACAAAGGCATCTGTACCAGCAAACTGAACCTTAAACTCCAGAATTCTTGATTCAAAAGTTTTTAGCCTTCCAAAAGGACTCACAGTGGAAGGAATTTACAAAATGTTTACAGATTTACAAAAAACATGTAATGAAGTCAGGTAAAACAGGCTGCACTGAAGAATTAAAGGGAGCAGCAAAACATACAACCAGTTCTGGAAAAAACCAACAGATCTTGGAAGTCCTCTTCCACCTATTCATAAATAATTTCTAGTGACAAATACTTAATTTTAACAAATTTGGTTTGATGCTAACATTATTTCTACTTGCCTTAAAGCTCCAGTATCACTGTCCAGCTAGGCACTGTTCTTGGGCTCTAATTAATACACAGATGCCTAAGGAAACTTGTAATAATACCAACAATATTCACTTCACACAGCTGCAATGAACTTACTACCACTCATTAACACCACACAGGCAGTTAATTTTGTTCCAAAATCAGGCACCTTGTCACTCCCTGAGTTCTATCATGTTAAAATACTGTTAATTACTTAATTCCCTATTGAAAGATATATGCAAATCAAGAAATACTAGAAACTTTGTCAGAACTAGTAACTGCCTTAATTATTTAAGCTATGAACTGTAATTTTTCAGTATTTTTGCCATCTTACATACCTATCACAAATGCTAAAATATCCAGTTGGAAAGCGATACTGCCAGCAGTTCTGATCATCCTCAGTGTGGAAAACCTTCTCCTTATGCTTTTCTGAAGCAATGTGACCCTGCCATTGCTTCTCACTATTACAGTTCTTCCCACACATCCAACAGTGAAAATCCACCTGTTTTACAAGGAATTTGAAAACAAAACATTGCAAATTCAATGCTGTAAGGGCAGAACTTCTCCTAATACATTTTGAATGTTTTCTTTATATTGGCCAGCAGGATATTGTTTACCTAAACAGACACAATTATTTAAACAATCACCTAAAGTTTATAATCTCCACTGGCTTTAGAGAACTGATGCACAGTGTCAGTTACATTTAGTGTAGTTATCTATGGTCTAAGGAAGCACCAAGGAAATAAGGGAAACAACCTAAATTACTGACTGGGGAAAAAAAAGCCCAACAAACCCCCTTATGCTTGGATTTGAATTATACCCATGATTACTTACTGTAACTTCAGCATAGTCAGTTGGCATATGAATTTGCTTCCCATTTTCTCTGCTTGCCTGAGCAGCTGTATCATCTCCTTTTTCTGGTTTTTGAGTTTTTAGCCATATGTCATACAACTGCTCCAAGTCTTGAACTAATGAGAGCAGAAGCTAAAATAAGTAATTAGCAATTAAGGCAAGAGTTTGAGAACACTAGATAAATGACTGAGTTTGTGAGCATAATTCAATCCCCACCTATTCTAAGAACAAAAAGGGAAGGAAACAAATGTTGACAGTTACAAAGTTCAGAGATTAAGAGCAGGGGAAGAGGCATCTCTGGCTCCTTACCAAAAGCCCTCTGTGTCTCTTGAGGGGACAGCAAGAGATTACATGTTTCTGAATGGGCACCCAAAGTACAGACAGCAACTCTGCTGCTGCATATCAATACTGAATTTCAAAGAACTAATCTCATGTGTGCTACAGCTTTTGGTAAATTTAGTTTGCTTTCTTGCAGACTGTGATCTGATAATTTATGTCATTTATTACTCCTGATTTTTGATGCTTTCTCCCTAGTAACACTGATGGGATAGTAAAGTCAGCCACAAAAAGGGAATGGCAGTTCCCAGTAAATACACTGGGGGGATTGTTCTGCAAATAGTTTCCCCCACATGTAATTCCATGAATCCATGTGGGTGCACATGGCAATACAAACACCAACAGATATTGCTGCAAGGATCAATATTTCTAAGACACCTAAAAAAAACAACACAGGCTACTTTATTGTTAGAAAACCCATCAAGCAGTGAATACACAACACAGCTATTTTTATTTAATACTATTTTTGAATGCCTGGTCTGGGTTTATTTAATTTCAAAGACAAGGGCACCTGCAAGATTTACTAAAAGAGATAATGAAAGAAATTAGATTAAAAAGCAATTAAGTACAAGAAGGAAAAGAACAGTTGGATTTGCAACATGTTATATTTAGTCTTCTACTTACTGCTGTTCTCCTTCATATAGGTCCACATCTCTCTCTCCTCAGGACTGTGAGCAAATGAGCAGTTTCCATCATACTGACATTTCTTGCCTGAAGCAATATGATTGCACAACTGGAACATGAATTTAAAGAAATCCTTAAGAATATAAAGCAGAATGGATGCTAGTAGAATTTTTGTATTTTTTTTCAGTCTTGGATAAAAAGTGTTTCCCCTCCCAGTGTTTCTCCTCCCAATCAAACATTTATATAATGTGAAAAATAAAATGCTTATTTTACAAAAAGCCTCATTTATAGTTAGAAAAAGAGAAGTGCTGGAAGCAAGTAGTATGAGTGCTTTTTGCCTCCTACCACACTAGCAGACCCCAGATATGTATAAATAATTTCAGAAATATTTTCTTCCACTGACAAGTAAGGACCTCAGTAGTAACATGAGATCAGTGCTTTCCTAAGGCTGAACATTGTGGGAACACTACCAACTCCCATGGGAACTTCTACAGAACTGATGAAACCAGCCCAATTGCCAGCATTTTCCAGTGACTATTATCTATTTTCTTAACCAAAACATTAGTGTTAAGTTAACATACATCAAACTGCAGAGGCACTTGTTTCTTTGCAGGCAGAGGACGAATGGTCATCCACTTCTTCCGTTCATTAGACATCACCAGCACCACACGGCGATCCTTGCTCCATCTGGAAACCACAAGCATTCAATCAAAGAAAATACTATTTAAAAGAAAAAAAAAACAAAACCACAATTTCTGCACAAAAGCACAACCAGGAAAGCTCAGACAGTTTATTTTTGAAGCTTTCACCATGTATTTAAGATTTAATGAAGTTCTACAAAAACTTGACCAAAACTCTTAATACAAAAAAAAAACCCCTCCAAAACCAAAACACAAACACTTTGGGAGCCATCAATGTGTTCTCTCAGTACCAATTATAAGCATACCACAGAAGAGATAATTCTGTTTTACATCATTATGTTTGGGGTTTTTTAATTCCTTGTATGACTCTTTCCTAAGAAGCAACATCTTCCCAGAAGTGGTTTTAAATGGCAGACTAAACAGTAGAACTTTCACTGATCTTACTTACGGGTGTCTTGCCTTTGCACTACAGTATTTTTTGTTTCTGTCTGGCTCACTAACTTGACCATTTCTCCAGCACTGCCCGCAAACAAATTTCATCTTCAAATTAAGCGATCCATATTTCATTTGGTTCCCAAGAATCTTAAGCAAAAAAAAAAAAAGCAACAACAATAAAAGGTATTTTTTTATCTGCAACGATATCATACATAATTGTTAATTACCCCCTATGGCAGAGATTCCAACACATGTTGGGAAGCAGATATACACTGCATATCTTGTAATAGCTCAGCTTGTCATTTCAAACTAGACATTTCTAAATAAATCCATTTTTTCATTGAACTTATTTCTGACTTAGGTATATGTACACATTATCACAACTTCAGGGTACAAACTAAACACATAAAGTGCTACATATTGAAAAGATAATTAATTGCCCTGGAGCAGCTGACTTTGAACTTATATTTACATTTTATGTTCCACCTGGGACAGAACAAGCAAAGTAAAAAGGGAGATGCACAGCAACAAAGCAGGCATTTTAGTCCAAGTGAGCAAGCTGAAGAAAGCCTATACTGAAAGAGATTATTTGGAAATCATTAAAAAAGTAATTTCTATAATAAGCTACATTATATACACACATTAAAAAAAGTATTACTACCACAGTCACTGCAAAATTAGTTGAATGGAAAACTGAAAATACCTGTGATCCATGTGCACTAGCTTCCATGTTCTGCCAGTACTTCTTTGATTCTTGAACTATAGTATCATGCGAAATACCTGTAAAGGAAATACCAATCTTTGAAAAGTACTTATGATTGTTGCAGCCTTACAGACAGGCTCAAACTGGAATGCTAATGAAGCCCCAAATCTTTGATTCATTTTTCTTTTTGTGTATTGTGTAAGTGTTCACACATGTGTGATATACGTGCCATGCCCTTACATCACAGATATGATGTTATTTCCATACACACACACATACACATTTAAGAACACTGTGAGGGCATCCAAACCAGAAATGTTGGCTGTATCATCCCAATGGAAAGCATACAAGGTTTTTAAGTTACAGACTGCTCATATAAGTTAAGGTGCATCTTTCAGTACTTAAATGTAATGTACTAGAGCTCTAATGCCAATGTCATTATAAAACCTACACTGTTTGTACCTCTCCAAAATGCAAGCTGAGAGGCACCAGGTTGCTCCTGCTTGCTTCCTGCACTGATCCCAAGCTGCTAATTTCAGAGGGAGTCAACAAAAGGAAGGGGTAGCAATACAATAAAGAGTAAAATGAGCATTTTACTAAACATACCTGATTCTTTTTGCATTATCCAGACTTTAAGCTCTACCAGACTGTGAGCATAAAAGCATTTATCCTCTCGTAAGCAGCCATAGTTCACCTCATGTCTGCACAGGTCCAGCTGACACCGAACTTGGAAGGGGCGGATTTTGGAATACTTCACCATAGTCTCCCGCAAAATGTGGACAAGGCACCTGATTTGAAAACAGTTTTAGATATTCTTTAAAATAACCATCCTTAACCACAGCTTGTTCAAATATCCATTAAACACTTTTTACTTGAAATCAGAAAGCAAAGTTCCCAGAAGGAGGTCACACCTAAGCATTGTTTCGAGGCTGAGTAAACACACTAAACAGCACCAAACAGTACTCTGGAACCCAGAGTCCCTCTTCTGCAAAGTATTACTGAATTCAATCCAGCTGGATCAGTGGCTTCCAAGGAGGAAAGCAGGTCATGCCCACTTTCAAGTATATAGCCTGATCTAATTACTAACCCACGTAGTATAAAGGAATATTTATAGAGCACCGTTTAAGGAAGAGGTGATGCAGAACAGTAACAGCCTAGCTCTTGCAGCAGCAGTGCTTCCTCAATGCAGGGAACTGCAATACAAACAAAGCCATTCCAGTGCTCCTACTTACTCTTACATCATACAAAGACAAAAGTCTCTTAATTCTCCAAAACTTAATTTATATTATTACAACAATAAAACTTTTTAAACTTTCCAAGAACAATTAAAAACACTCCTCTCACTTTTTTATCAACTATTTTATACACTGTAATTAAGGTAAGCCTGAGTTAAAACTACAGCAAAATTAGCAAAACGTATCAAAGAAAGAGCAACTTTCCTGTTTTAATTTAACATTACACATCTATTTAGAGCAATACAGCTCACCAGGCAGGTAAGCTATAAACAACCTGATATCAAATCCCATAATATTCAAAGATGAGGGTAGACACCACTAATTTTGAATGACTGATAAAGAAACAGATCACTTTAACTTGCTTATATTTGTCAAACCTTGCTCTTTAAGTCTGTCTTGCCTATACTGACAAAGTGTAAGAGTTAGCAGGGAAGTTGACCAACAGGTAAGAAATCAAAATCAGTATTAAAAACTGCCCTTGCTTTTAAATTGCAACTTATAGAGATGATACTTCAAACATACTTGTTATCTTCAAAGTCATGCATAGCAGGGTGAGAACAGGAAGATGAGTTATCTTTGTTCCTTTTGCTTATTATTCTGGGCTTGTGATCAAAACATTTCTGGAATAGAAAAACAAGTAATTTTATGGTATATATTGTAGAAAATTAAAAATATACCTTACACTAAAGATTTTAACAGATACTTCATTTAGTTTCTAATCTAAAGGCAGCCAGATAATAACTGAAATCTGTTCCAAAAGCTACAAAACAGTCATGCACGAACCAAAGCATTTCTTTCCACACATTTTAATTATCTATTACCATTTTTATTGCATTACAAGAAATAAAGCAGCACCTCACAAAGAAACATAAATAATCCGTGGTATTCTTGAAGAAGTTGGGACACAGTCAAGTTGATCTTCCCAGGTCCTCCAAACAGAGCTTCTCTGCTGAAGGCTCCCTTGCGCTCCAGCGTCCACACATCGATCTCCTCCTGGCAGTAGGCAAAGGTGCAGTGCCCTGGGTACCTGCACTCCTCCTCAGCAGCCACATCTGAAAGGACAGCATCAAACAGAGCACTGCTTTTACACAGCTTTACTTGGAAATTCATCTTAAAACTTCCATTATATCAGTTTCAAATACTTTTAATAAAGAAGTTACAGAAAGCTGCTGTAGATTTGTCACTTAAATCTAACAGAACTAAAATATTATGCTGAATGACTTGGTGAAAATGTAAAACTCATCAAAACAGCTAATGCACATCTCTATCAACTATCCTGCACTAATCTAGGGCAATGATGCCAAGAACCAAGAATACCCTCTGCTCAAATAAAGCTGCTCATTAACCCACAAGTCATTTTGCTTACATCCTAATTAGAGGTTCACATTGCAAAAGTCTAACAAAAATGCTTCTTTTTTGCTGTGTTTAATCATCCAACACTCAAAAGCAAAATTATTCCTGATGGAGAACTGTACAGAAGTACACTGCCTGTCCTTTAAATAATCATATTAGTGGTCATGATATGGCTCTCCTTACAGCCTTTGAAATTATAAACAACCCAGAACTTCCTTCTCCAACTCTCATAAGCATAAATATAAATTCCTTCTATACTTCACTATGGAAAAGCTAAATTGTATTACTTTGAGCACAGGCATTACCAGGTTCCCTCTGTAACACCTACCTTTACATATATGATATGGCCCCACATACTGTGTCTTTGTTGGTCTTGGACGTATTTTTTTCCATGATTTATCTTCGGAGTTTTTTATTCTGCCAATTAAAATATCCTTCTTACATTTATGTTCTAAATTTGGATGGTAAGCATAATCCAATAATTTAGGACCTGAAACAACCACAGAAAATTGCTTGTATTGGCATAAATTGCATCAAACATGAACATGTCCATACACACACTGGCACAGAAGCCCAAAAGCAAAGTAAACAAACACATTGTATTGAATTCCTACTTGCAGCAGCAGCTCTGAAGAACCAAAAGTCATTAACCACCATTTTGAGCAAAATAGAAAATAAAAAAAAACCCAACAAATACTTACAAAAGGCAGTCTCAGCAAGAAAAAACCCACAAGTTATTTTATATTTCGGGAGGGATGTTGAGATACAACCTTAACGTTTCTTGAGGTCAGCAAATTGCTGCATTTTTTCAAATTACAAAGTATCCATTCCAATAAAAGTTGTTTAAAACTTAAATTGCTTATGTATAGTAAGTCAATGCAGATGGATTCCAGTGATCAGTAAATGGCTCTCTTAACCTTCAACATTTATTTTATTAGGAGAGGTACTATCCTCAGGGACAAAACACACTTGGTAGGAAGTTCACATGTGCCAAACAGATAAATGCCAATCCCAGAACTTTGTGATTTTGGAAATAAAAATACACCTAGCTTCAAACTCTCTCTTTAGGATGGTACTAAATGAAGACATCAGGAAGAGCATCTGAAGATGAGCAAGGCTCAGTGAATTCTGCTATTCATGAAACTGAAAAACAAGAGCACGACCCAGTTTTCTCTGGACAAGAAGATGATGGAACCGTGTAATTTCAAGAGGCAGCAAAAGCAGGAGACACTTAAAGGCTTTGATAGAGATGGAAAGAAACAGAGGAAGCAGATGCATTGACACAAAAAGTGAAGCTAGGAACATGCTAAGTATTCTCACCAATATGTTATAGCTCCAGCTTTAGCAGAACATGTTCTATGGTTTTTCAAACATCATTTGTGGATTTTTCTAGTAAAAATAATTTTAGACTAGTATGGAAATTCTTAAGGGTACAAAAGTCATCCCCCTAAAGATCTCAATACAATTCTTTATTAGTATATTGATATCAATGATACCTGTAACTTCAAACACAATGCTTATTTTTAAGATTAGTTTTAATAGAAGCTATTGCCTTTAAAACATGGCTCTGTTTAACAGCAACAGCTCAGGCCTAAAGGATTAGTTATATTAATGACCAATACTGGTTAAGCTCCTTTAAGTCAATACAGTGGAGTTAATTATTACTAAGGTTTGGAAGCCTCATGATTATGATTTAGAATTAGTTTGAAAGAACAATAAAACAGATGGGATGTGAAGGTTACCAGGTACTTTGAACTGCAGTTCAATTCCCCATGGCCAATCAGAGAGAGTATTGCAAGTTTTATTTAGTCTTGAGCAAAGGTGTCATTCTTCACAGTACCCTGGGGTTTGGGAGGAAAGGGGATACAGAATGTGAATGACCTTACACACAGGGAAAGCGTGGGGTGATTTGTGCTGGGTTTAGAAATCAAGAAATCTATTAGGACAAGAAATAAAGACAAGAGGAAAGAAGATAAAACAGTGGTTGAAATACTTCACCAATCATAAGATCGTGCTACATCTGCAAAGAACAAGTCAGGATTAACATGGTTTAGAAGCCAACAGTGTTAAATTAGGAGCACTAATATTTTAAATATATGTTTTTAAATTAAAAAAAAAAATAAATCAACCCCATCAAGTCAAATAGCTCCTTACCTTTTTTGACAAAGCATAACTGGCAGGCCTGTCTTAGCTCATGTGTGCCTTCCAGTGGGTTCCTTCCTGCCAGTGCTGGAGATACAGGTATATTAGCAGTTGTACTGCTAAAAACATTGGAAAACTCATTTCTAGTTTGGCCTGCAATTCCCATGTAATTTTCAGATCCAAACAAACTACTAGGACCATTTATCTGTTGAAAGAAAGCAGATTTTACTTGATACATAGAATGTATTTATCTACAACTAAAATTTAACCTACAGAAATTTTTCTTCATAGCCATAATATGAACTTCAAACACACATCTGAGAAAGGACATGGAGATTTTACACAGGCCACATACACAGCACAAACTAAGCATAAAACAAGAGTCAGCCAGGTACAGGCAGAACAGCAGCCTTTGTGAGGCTAATTATTATTAATTATTACTAATTACTCCTCCCTCCTGGCTCCTGAAGATTCAGTCCTTCATCCCACCCTTTCCCACACAATCAGTGCCAGCAGCGTGGCTGAAAATGCACAGCACGACTGCAGTGCAGACAGCAGCCAGATCCTCAGACACACAGGGGCATCTGCTCTGTTCCTGTACCAGGACAGCTCTTCAGGATGCCTAGTGCTTGGTACTCAGATCAGAAGGGATTTTATATTAGTTATTTTACAATTCAACAGTATTTTACAGCAAGTTCCTCAAAACAGAATAATGGCCGTGACATCAGTCAAAATCTGCATACATAAAACAACCTCCATACATTTTTTCTTTTGTTACCATTCCCGTAAGTTCCCACAGCCAGAACCCACTTTTAATGGTAGAAGTGCTATTTTTCTAGAAATAGAAACTTCAGCTGTAAAAATGCAGATCTGTGTAAAGCCTCCAAGGGTGTGAGCAAAAACATGAAAAATACGTACAAACAATGGGGAATTATTGCTGTTAAGTGTTGGTGTTCCATCTCTAGGAGCTGAACTTGAGATGTCTAAAGAAATAAAAAGATATTTTAATTAAATGAGTTCCCAAGAACATCCCATGCAAAAAATAATTTATCATTCCTGAGAAATATCAGAGGTTTGGGTTTTTTGACAAACACCAACCTTTTTTTGTTTGCTACAATAAGTTTTTTTTTAATTACATAAAAGCCCCTTGTACACATGTGGGCTGAAAAGTTATTAGGCAATTATCTTCAAAATATACACCTGATTACCACCAGCAGTGCTGGCAGATACTGAAGGCAGATACTGAAGCAACATGAAAATACTTGTTCAGTACAAAAAGGGCAGCAAGATAAACAATATCTGACTATGAAAAAATGAGGAGATGAAAGAGGGGTAAGAGGATTCTTTAACTTTTTATTTTATTTTGTAAATCTGGCTTTGTTCTGAAGACAGCATAGTCCTGTAACACTGATAATTAAAGACAAAACTGTATTTTATCTTTTGTAGTTTGTTACTTGTATCTTCTTATTTCACATACCTGATTTCACTACATAATTACAGTCTGTGCAGTTTGAATCCAAGCATGTAACACTGGTACCTTTTCAGAGTACACAGTTACATTACCCTTTTATAATTCTTGTTTATTGCCAAATCATGACAAATGGTTTAAGCAGTAAGAGTAACATTGTTTAAAAAAAAAGTTTGAGGGAATAGTATTTCTTCTTTAAACTTATTCACTTGAAACAAATAAATTTAGATAATGGATACAGAAAAACTACACAGAGGGAGCTTGGAGCATGCTTATGCAGACCCCAGGGAAACAAATGCTTTATTTATGAATTCTTATATATAACCAACACTCAAAAACTATTAGCACAGCTCAAATGTTACATGTTAAATGTAACAAATAGCTGTGAAAATTAATTTGTTAAAAAGGAAAATCACTTGGCTCATGCACAATTCTCATTATCATTAAAGGTTACATATTAAGACTCATTTCTTACCTCTTTTTGGGTCACTGATTGAAAAAGTGCTTAATGGCGAACAGAAGTTTTCCAGTGATGAAGCCAAAGGCTGTGAAAAGATTTCTGAAAGAGAAGCTGAAGGAACAAATCCTGCAGTAACTGGCAGTGTCCCCAGCAAAGAGGCAGAGAAAGGTACACTAGGAGCTACACTCCCTGCAGGAATGGCTCCTCTGGCTCCTGTAGTTTGCTGGAAAAAAAATTTAAAAGAATGTTCAGACCAAGCAAGAAAGGCCTCAAGAACATAATCTGCCACAGTATTTCTTTTAGTCAAGTTTCTGCATAGTTTTTGTAAACCTACTGAAAAACATCAGACAGGTACACCACAGTCCTGCACAGAGCTGCAGTACCCAAGTCCCAAACAATGCCCCAGCTGCAAGGCATTATCCACTGAGCAAACATTTAAGGGTTCAGTTACCAGACACTTACTAAGTTAGTAAGAGATCTGGATTTTTTATCCATTGGATTATGGTTGAATTTCCAAATTATGTTAAAAACAGAGACACCAGGGAAGAGTAGGAAGAGTCAGATATCAACAGGATTTGTTTCTAAATAAAGAGATATAATTCAAACTGCAGTACAGCAAAAGAGGTATGGGCTGGCTTTGAGGTAAGTCCTCAGATCAATCAAATGATAACACATTCTGCAAAGGCCAGGTCACATTCCTTCCTCCCATGGAAAATAACACATCCCTCTGTACATTTCTGTTAAGGACATACCAAGTGGGGGAGTTTCCCTTCCCTTCCTGCCATGCCAAGGAGCTCCCTCCTTGTCTGGCTCTTGAGTCAGTAGGTCTGCACAGAGTCTGCCCAGTGGGAAACTCCATGTTCCCCCACTTATCAGTCTGCAATTCACTCAGTACAGCTCACAAAATTCTACACTCCATGAGACTGCAGTCTCTCTTGGAAGACTGTATTTCCTCCTGGCTTTCACTATGGCAAACATCCTAGGATCTCTTAAAAATAATTACTTTCTCTATTTCTGACACATTTCCTAAAACATTAAGTGCATAAAATAGAAAATCAGAAACTCAAGCATTTTTGATTTAAAGATTTGCAATTGTAAATCAGAGTTGAATGAGGAATTAAAATCACAACTGCAGAACTGAATGTGCCACAGCCTCATTTAAAACTGCAATACAAATGCAATACAAAATAAATACTCCAAATGACTGGCAGGGCCAGAGCAGGGAGTCAGTAACCTTGGTAATAGGTTCAGACATCTCTGCTCATCAATCAGAGCTCTCATTTTGACTAAAAACTGAAACTCTGGAGGCTTCACAGTCTGCTCTAGGTCTGGCATAATGGTGTAAGTAGGAACAACACTTCACAGAACTGCATTTCTCTAATATCTCTTCTAAAAATACAAAAAGTCAGGCTCACAATGGTCTGTCTCTGTTCAGGCAGGTGGTGGATCTGGACCAAGTACTGATTGCAGAGACACCACTGAGCATCCCAGAAGGTCACAGCCCAAGTACTACTCTGCTGCAAAGCTTTTTGCTTATGTTTAACCATAGTTTCTACACTTAGAGGGTGAGCATTCCAACACACTGTTCATGTTCTAAGAGGGTTTATTGGCACAAAAAAACCTCCCAAAAAACCACACTAGCCCAATTGTCCAATTAGCTTTTCACAGTACTTCCTCCAAGTAGCATTGGTAGTAGCATAACAGTATTTTTGAAGTAGTCCTCCTATCCTTACAGCCACATTTAAAAGAATCTGAACCTGAAAAAAAATCAACCTGACTATGCCCAAAGACAGCTCAATGTAACTAGGAAAGGTAATAAGCATCACCACCAGCCCACCTGATAAAAATATGAGATCCCACTCCTAAAGAGAGTCTTTCAAGAAAGAAAACAGATAAAAAAGTCTTACCATTACACTTTCATCTGGATCAGGCACAGAATCAAGTAACTCATCAAGTTCTTCTCCAATAATTATATCTCCATCTCCACAATCTAAACATGCTTCTGGCATAGGGAAAGAAACATTGCCTCCATTTGCCAACACTGCAGAAGGCAAAGGAACCTTTTCCATCTGAAGAGGCATAACAGGAGGTAAAGGTGCTACAGGTACTGGTGACACTTTGGACACTTCAGAAACAAAGTTTGATGAAGAAGCAGCAGAAACCATCTCTTGTTTCTGGTCAGATAAATCTGAAATAGGTAAGATGGGAATGACTGGAACCTTTGTAAGATGCGAGAAGTTCTTGCATTACTTTTACCCTGACAAAGTGGAGGGTGAGAGAGTGAAGAAATGTGAAGAATGTTTAAGCAAAACCACATTAAATATTTCCAGCTTCTATCAGCTTCCAAATTATGTGTATCTTCATCTCAATGTTTATTTATTACTCAAGCTAAAACAGAAAGAAAAGGTTACAGACCTGATACTTTATTCAATCTTTGGCATATTCTCCCCTCCCTATTTTTTCAAGCTAAAGAGGATATTATGGACACAATCACTACAGGAGCACTTACAACCATATCAGGTTGAGGAGGCCAAAACAAAACCTGCTCAGCCACTGAAATATACAGTTTTAGAGATAAACAGATCAGACTTTACCCCAGTACTTTCAAATGACCAGATGAATTTTCATCCAAATTTTCCTAATACAATGAGATATGTAGGGCATATCTCACTCCCTAGCATTAGTAATGTAACACAAGACTCACCTAACTCAATATCTTCTACGGAAGAATTCTGTAAATGAGAAAAAAATACCTCTCAGCCACAAGAGCCATTAAAATTTTTCAAATACATATTTACAGACAAAGAATGTAAGCCCTCTCAAATTTAGGTTTTATAAAATCTCAAATTTACAATGTCTAATCTAATGTAAAGTTAAAATAGTTTTTTTTTTTAGATAAAGCATCCATTTGCAGACTGAATTCCACTCATGGTATCACTGAAAATTTGCAACCAACCAACCAAAGTGAGAGTGACACTTTAGGGAATGAAAGAGTCTAAATGGTATCTTAAATGAACTGTTCCTTCATTTCCTCATTCCTTTACAGCTAAATTGTCCATATTCCTGTGAAAGAAGTATGTAAGATCAACTCCTCTTCACTGTTGCTATTCAGACACATTACAAAGAGCAAGATAAATGCAAGTTCAGCTGCTAATAAAGATCAAATTTGGATAAATACATGTAAGTAAAAGGGATTTTATCCCAGCACCCTTCATTTTGAAAATTGTCAACTAAATAAAATAAAAAATAAAGCTATTAACTTCGTTCTTGCCTCAGGACATAAAAAATACATAAATGCATTGCACTGGATTTAATCTTTTAGCTAACATTTATTCAACAAAGATAACTCCAATAATAATCTTCATGTCCTAGTCTGCCACACGTGTCCAACAAAACTGAACATAACAGAACCCCAAATCCCCAAATAACAGCTTCTCATATAAACTGTCAATTGCACCACTGTCCCTTTATCATCATGAAATAATGAAGCAATTATTCCCTGTAGCTTACAGGCAGCTTGCACTTGGAACATGTAAAACCTTACCTGAGTTGATACATCACTAGAAACTGAATTTGATGAGGGTGGCTACAAAGAAAAGATACTTTCATTAAATACAAATTTGATATCAAAAGAGGGAAACCTTAACATAAAATGTTAAAATAAAATCTTACCTTTGCTCTAACATATGCTTTCCTTATTTTTAACCCTAGTTTTTGAGCTAGTTCTTGAGTAAGCTTAATCACACTTTCATCCTAAAAGACATAAATAAAATTTCATAATTTACATGTACTGTCATCAAGCAAAGACATCTGTTTATATCTCAGTCTGTATTCTGCAAGATCCCTACATGCAGGATGTCTGAAAATGCAGCTTTATTCTTCCACAAACACAGAACTGAAACCTATATCTGAAAATACAGCTGCCCTCAAGCAAAACTATGTTGACAGAAAACGGACAGTATCCTCCTTTTCCTTTTATCTGAATTTAAAATAATATAAAGGCTTTCCAAAGCCAGAGAAATTCAAATAAGTGTTTTGTTGGGGTTTTTTGGGTGTTTTTTGTTTTGGTTTTTGGGGTCTTTTTTGTGGGTGGGCATTTTTTGTTTGTTTATTTGAGGAGGGCATTTGTTCCTTAAGGGGATGGGGGTTTATTTTGTTGTTTTGCTTTTAGAGAAATTGAGAACCATATTCCTGATTAGCATATGAGCTAGTACATGACACTGATGAATATTTAATGAGCACTCTGTATTTCAGGAGGCATTGCATCATACTACTAGAATTAAAAATGTCATTGTATTTCCCTCTGTCCTACAGTTATAACTACCTATTTAAATTATTTTAAGATTTAGTATTCAGATCACGTCCTACAGCTAGAAAAAGCTATTTATAAAACTTACATAAAGGCATATTAACCTTAAGCAAAAACATTCAGATCTGGAGGCGCAAAGTGAGGATCCAAAGTCCAAAGTTACACATTCAGATGAACCGTTTATGTTTTTGGAAAGACAACTGAAACTTTCTCTATCAAGAGGCAAAACCTATGCCCAACACTTTGTGTAGTGTCTCACTGTGATTTTGATGCAGCAAGGTGAGTATGCAGCAAGTCAGTATTTTATCAGATCAGTCTATTTTGAGCAAAGCATGTAAAGATTCCATAAGCATGTAAGTTCAAATCAGAAATGCATTTCTGAAGTGAAATATCTTAACCATCCTCACTCACAGCATTTTAGTTTGCATTATGAAGGGTCCCAGAGAACCCAACTGGGTTTGGATATAACTAAAGCCCTGCAGGAATGCACTTGATGCACTCCAGCTCCTAAAAAACCCAAACAAATAAAAAACCACAACCCAAGCACACAAACAATCAGGGAAAGCAGATCCTCAAGACCAGCATTTCAGTCTAGAGATCATCTCCTCCACCACCCAGTGCCTGCTAACATATCCAGAGCCCAAGAGTCAGGGGGCACAGCAAGTGATTCACAGAGAACAATGCACTGGTAGCAATGTTAATAAACACTTGAAGAGCTAAAATACAGTTATCAAAAGAATAAATGTATATTATAATTATGGTGGGATTCTCTTCACGTCATAGAGGATTTTTAACAATTAATTCTGTGGTTCTAGTGCTTATTGCAAACTGAGCTTGGGGACTGTCATCTCTGCCCCCAGTCTGTACTTCCACAAGAAAAAAAATAATGCTTAGAGGAATAAAAAATATTTTATAGCATTAAAAAACCCCAAACTAGAAGAAACAACCTTGGTGTTGAAATAAGTGTATGTTTCAAAACTTTAAAAATAAACACCAATACACAATTTACCCACCTGTGGCACAGCAAGAGAACATTTTGCTACAGCATCATAAGCCTTCTTAAAGCTTCCCAGCTCATTCAAAGCTTTGGCTTTGCGATAGAGAGCTCTGAAATTGTTTTCATTCAATCTTAATGCTACCTCACAGTCCTCTAGAACTTTTTCATGCAAACCCTAGGAGGAGCAAAAAGAAAAAAAGCCACTAATCAGAACTAGTATCATGGAAATGGTGAATTTGAACTGCATTGGACGAAGGTATTGAAACACTATCAAACACTCCCCAAGGTCACTGCACAGTGCATTTGTAAATTTTGCTAAATCACTAAATTAGGCAACTAAAAACAAGCAGTGCCATCATTACGTAAAACCCAGTAACAAAGAAAATGTAACTCTTTCACAAGAGCCATCTTGTTCCAGAGAGAAAGCAAAAGCAGCCAACTCAGTGCAGTCAGCAGTGTAAATGCATAAAAATTTGATTCCATCAAATTCCAAGCCCAGTATGACTCTTTTATGTTAATTCTACTATTAGTAACTAAAATACCTCAATTATACATGTAAAAAGCTTTTCAAGAACCTGCCAAAGAGATGATTTGAAACATGTCAATCTTCAAACTGCCATCAAAAGCTTTTCACTCACTAGACTTTGTGTCTTCATACCCTGTTTGCATCCTGTTCTGGAGAAATCCTAGTTTAAACAGAAGCTTACCATATTTGAATAACAGGCAATCCTGTTCACATGCAGCTTCTCTAAAACATCATCAGAAACATGGATTTCTTCTGAATTAGCATAATCAGCTATGTTTATAGCCTCTGTATAATGACTCAGTGATCCTCTCCAATCCCCTTCTCGATATACATCATTTCCTTCATGAAAAAGATTTCTAACAAGATCTCGTATAAATAACTGCAACAAAGATAAGAAAAACTCATCAACAACAGTTGCTTGTTTATCTTCCATACTCCCAAGGAAAATTTTAAATACAAGATCTGTACTTGTAACTCCATGGAATCGGAGTGAAATGCAAAACTTTTGTCTACATTAGTGCTTTTCTTCTGACATTTTTCCAAGAACATCTCAAAGATGTATATATATTTTCATATATATATATATGTATATATATTCTTTCAGCAAGCAGCAGCCATAGCAACTGACAAAGCAGAACACAAAAGCTGCTTTGCAAAAGGGGTTTTTTCATCAAAATGTGAATGGCAGCATTTTTATCTAATACGTTCTCAAATCCAATGAAATCACCTACCACTGGAACAAAAACTAAAAAGACAAGTCTGAAAATACAAGCCAAAATTATGCAAAATCATTGCACATACAGAAATAAAATATGTTCTGAGCCTTTCTGTGACTGAAGTCCTTTTATTTTACTTTTGCTCTGCTACTCTGAGCTTTACTCAGAACAGCACATTGTTTTACTCAATTAATGCCTCAAATTCATCCACAATACCAGCAGAGAAATACTTCACCTCAAGTGCTGTATGAGTAAATTCAGGACACCCAAATATCTGAATACCTGTATCATAATGTTAGTAGTTGTCCAGTTTCAATTTTGAGACTTTTAAAATTACCATTCATATTATATCATCACCTAAATGATGACTAAAACCAAGATTAACTGTAATAATACAGACCAATTTAAAAACCAGTCTGGAAATTAAAAAGTCATTTCATTACCTCATATTGTTCTTGTGTCCCTGGATAGGGCAAAGTGGATCTAGAAAAAAAAATAAAATCTTCACTTATTATGCATATTGCTTAAAAGACAATCACACTGAGGAATGCTGGTTCTTAGTAAAAGCAGCCTTGCTTCTGCAACAGGAAAATCTCTGAATAGTGCCCACAGCCTGCACTGAACAAGGAAAAGTGCTGTAGATGAGTTTTGATTAAAAAACTGAGCTGTCTCATTACTAATGGCTTACTTTCTTTTGAAGTTACATGGTCAATCTGAACTCTGCTGCTCAAAATGTATTAAGGTTTTGAATGCTTAGAGAATTTTAGACATCACTGTTCTTTAAGAGCAATCCTTCCTCTCCTTTCCCCTGCAGAGCCATTTTATAGATGAAAGAACTGCAACCTTCTAGTAAGTACTATAAAATGACAAATTATCTATCAAAAACCCACATCAATTTTAATTAAGTCATACCAATGACACAACAGGAATTTTAAGAGTCCTTCTGTATGACATGCAATAGAGATTTTCTCTAGGACAGAAAGGAGGCCTTTACTTCTACATTTCCAGGAAGAAAAGCAGAAATCCTTTCCTTCTGCATACAGGTAAACTGAGATTCTGTTTTTAAACAGTTTTTAAATGGTCAGGAGTTTGGGGAGGGAAAGTTTTGTTGGGTTTTGTGTTGGTTGGTGGTTGATTTTTTGTTTGTTTTTGTTTTCTAAGAATGCCATATATGAGCAGTGAACAAGTATGAAATTTCAAAATGATTTTAAGATAGCCAGGACCTTAAAAAAAAGTTGGCACTGACCCAAATGAAAATTACTCAATGATTTCTCAATAGCTTAAATTTTAGCTCCAGAAAGTTAAAACATTTAGGTAGTGGTGAGCAAACTCATCTGTTTCCGTAGCAACCTAGTTTTAGGTGTAGTTATTCTTAAGGTGGATTATCAGGCTACCAACATTTTCTACCCACAAAAAAAGATTAAATGCTATTTTTTTCCTCAAAGGCAGGAAAGAAATAACCTCTCACCTTGCATTTGCTCTGTTTAGGAACAAAGAGAAGCGCTGTCTTTTCTTTAAAGCTGTTCCCTGTTTAACATATTATTGCTAGCAAATATTCCGAGGAAAAACACAAAAGGCCTTTCTCAGAGCCATCCATCTCACAGAAATAGATTTAAACATGTAAATGAAAATACAAGAATAAAAACCACAAAATCATACTCTATAAATTGGAGTCCTTTCTTAATGTCCTGTTGTCTAGTGCTTCTCTCTTCCGAGACATTGGACATGTTATCCTGAACATCCACTTTTGGGATATGCCACTCCTCAAAAAGGAACAGAGAGAAATGGCTGTTAGAATGTGTGCACCTGGCCCAGAAGGAGCCACTCTCACATCAAGCCCATTGTACAAAGATGATTCTGCACCAAGCTTCAGAGGGCACTGCAGAAACTCCTGACACAGCTGAAGCACCCAGAGCAGCAGAGGGAGAAGCCCCAGGTCACAACCAACATCCCCTCATCAGTGCCCAATTACACAACATTCAATATTTCTGCAGAAAACCTTTCTTCCAGTTTCTAATTTATCTTTGGTTTCCACTCACATCCTCCAGAGGATGCAGAGTCCTGTCAGTGTAACTGACCAAGCTCCAAGCCCATCTTTTCAGGGATTACTGCTCAACTGAGCTGCAATTCCACACTGTCCCCTTGGAAAAGCTTTACACCTCCTTTATTTGCTTGTTGAAGTGGAAGTAAACTCAAGATCCTGGTATAAGAAAGCTACCATGAAGTCTGGTTCTACAGCATCTCATCATCCCCCAAGCACCAAGGTGAAATTAGAAGCAAACACTGCTGCTTTATGAATATCTACCAGTCAGCCAAGGTGAGAACCTTGCACACTTTACCAGTAGCAAAGACAACCTACTTCACTTGAAAAACTGAACTACTCAAAGGTAATTCCACATCATCAGCTTGACATTTCAATTCAATTTATTCCACATCATCAGCCTGACATTTCAATTCAATTTGTTTCAATCACTGATTTTTTTTTCAGTTTGTGTCTTTAATTGACTGGACTTACAAATTCTCAAATTAAACAAGCTAAAATGATCTGCATAACCTTGAATATAAGGCTGTTTAAAGGCTGTCACAATTGTACTTGGTTATGCCAAATTGTCATGTAAGAATACACTTTATTTTTCCAAAAAACTACCAGTAGGACAAAGTTTTAGTCTGAAAATATGCACGTTCAGAAAAAGGCTTTTAGCTAGAGGAACTGTGTAAGTTTTGTGAAGAAAATTACTTTTTGTAGGAATTTATAGATAAAAAAAAAACACCTGAACTACATGCAGTACAATTCTGTTAGTCTTGAAACTAAGTTAAAACAAGCCAGTATTTTGTGCCAGGTTGCCATTTCACATCAGTGGCAGAAGAATGAAAACAAAGTAAAATGAGAAACAAACTAACCTCAGCAAACTCCAAAAAAAATCCCAACTGAGGACAGAAACATGCTGCAGAAGATACCCTGCTTTCTCTGAATGACTTGGAATAAGGAAAAAAAATGGAAGAATCTTCAGCTCTAATAATGTTTACAAACCTTTTCAAAGCCCCTTAAACAAATGTATGAAGTCTAGACTACTTCAAGTACTACAAGTTACTCCTATTGTAATACATTCCTAAAATGAGCATAAAAATGAATAATTTTCTTAAGGTCACTAAACAAATTATTGGAAGCACTCCAAGGTCCCCATTTCACCTCACTGTGACCTCAGAAAGGGCAAGGTTTAAAAAAAGCATGAAACTAAAACTCAGTCTTTAGATAAATATCATGGACAGTTCTGATAGCTCCCTAACAGGAATTTCTCAGCTTTCTAGAGAGGAACTAACTGTTTTTCATGTCATTTTATGCATCACCTTTTCTTCCATGAATTAATAATACATACTACGATTTTGCTGTATAATAAAGGTTTTAATAAATAACAGCATATCCAAGAAGAAATTAAAATGTAAATGCCTAAAGACATTTTATTTGGCATGTGAATAGTTTTTATTTACTCACTCATGGATTAGGTTTTAGAATTCAAACAAAATCTTGTAAGAATAAGAAATTATCACACTAACCAGAGAAAGTAAGAATAGTAGCACATTTTCCCTCAAAAGTAAGCTATGAAAAACACATTTTAGTCCTGTGAATTAACAGCTGACAATGTAATACCTTGTCACACAAGAGTCTTGCATATACCACAATCTGGGCAAAATTAAAATAAGCTTTACTAATTTTAAAAAATCCCAGTATTCCACCCCACCTTGCAATGACACAAGAAAAGTCCAACACAGTGACACTTGCAGTTATTGATCACCTCCAACAGAACATTAAAGAATGATATATTGAACTTGAGGATGTGCAGATCCCATTTCTCCACAACAATAAAGTTAATGGAAATGTTACAAACAGGCATTGCATACATAAGAATAGCTAGCAAATGATGAACATATGTGAGTGCCGGAATTTATTATTCAAAGCAGTTTTCTATTTTTTCCCTACTCATTTGCATACAAGATATTCAGGCAAAAATTATCTTTTCTTAGAATACTCTGACAATTAAATTGCCCCAATATTCAACGATTTTGCAGAGAATTTAAAATAATTTCAGATAGCACCTTTAACAGTATCTCTTCCCCCCCAAATTTTCCTTATATCCTCTGAAGCAACCAGAAACAGGTTAAGGCTCAGTTAAATACAAGGCAAATGACAATCATGTCTTGCCTTTTAATGTTATCCATCCACTTCCCAAGATGAAACCCCACTTATGTAGCAACAGCCCTTCCCCTTCTGCAGGGACAGAATTTAAAGAAAAATAAACTTACATACATTTAAACAGTCTAAATGTTCCTGCCATGTATCAGCGAGTTCACTATTTACACATTTACTGGGTGACAGGAATCTCAAATTTCTATACAGTACAAACACATTGAAAATTTTGTCATTACTGCAGTTGAAAGATCACCACCAGCCTCAGTGGTTCAGCTGAATTAGCGAATAAAATCACACCAAGTGAAGAGACCCCTTCTGTATCCTAGCATCAGCCTTCTCCCCCTCAACTCTGACAGAAATGAACTCATCATCTACACCATCATATGTCAAAACTTTGTCAGAATCTGCGAAACCAGAAGGCTGTGTATAAAACAACACCAACAACAGTTCACCACTGTTTCCATATAGGAAAACTACTCCAAAGGAGAGAAGTTAAACCCTAGAATAAAGGGAATGCTGCAAAGAGAAGAGCAAGACTGAAACAGAACAGCAGGAGTGAAGACGTGACTAAGAGGGAGGCAATATAAATCCCTCTCACCCACTAGAAGCAAAAGCCCATCTCTGCTGCTACCTCCTGCAGCACTAACAGCAGCAACAAGCACAATACACTCAGGCATTTGGATCCAGAAGCTACACAGGTGTAATTCCCAGCCCAGGGGCACAGGAAAGCAAAACTCTGCCTCGACAGAGCCAAGTGAGAAGTGGCATCAACAGCTACACCCAAATCGCTTCCCCAAGAGATGCCCCCCAGACAAACATCTCCAGTACCCCCAGCTCCAGCCCAGCCAAGGATCCAGCTGGACATGCAGCACACAGAATAAACCTTGCCAGAAAGCAGACTTGTCAAAGCCCTTTTATTGCCCGTGTCAGTCATCTGACAGATTAAAAGCATAATTACAGATAATAAACAACAGTGCAAACTAAAGCATGCCTTACAGAGATTGTAAACTGCTCATCAGACTTGGAGTGGCATCAAAATAAGGAAGGGAAAATAGAGACCTTAATACACAATCTGTAAATAATAAATGTGTTCCTCAGACAGCAAAAGCACAAAAGAGTTTATGTTCATATTTACACATAATTGAGCTGTTCTATGAAACATTTCAAACATGCAAGATGCTGGGGGAGAAACAGGAAACACATTACACAACACACATTTCAATAGTCCCAAGTAAACTTCTCTGCTTAATCTCATACCTCTGGCCACAATCACAGAATTCTGTTATGTCAGCTCAAAAAACCACCTCACACAGACATAATGCAGTACCACCTTTTAGTTCTAAAAAGTGAACTTGACTGTAATCAAAACGAAGTATCTGAATAAAAGAAAATAGAACATATAGCAGTAAATTAAGACGTCTTAATTCCCCACTCTTTACTTACCTTCGGTATTTAGTTGCATCTCCTCCCACTTCTTCCCTATCCACAAAATAATAAGATAGTTTTCAAGATTTATTTTCTATTTTCACGGCTTTACTACATTTTTTTAAAATCCATGTAAGAAACAGGAGAGAACAAAAACGCTTTGTGAAGTCATTTCACTTCCCTAGGAGATTAAGAAGCAGAGCTTGAAGACTTCGGTTTACAGTTCTCTCAGATACTTCAGTAAAGGACAGATCCAAAAACCTAACCGCAGAAAGAGCATCTCACCAATAAATCCAGATTTATCAACAGGACTTAAACCAAGATAAACTCTGATACTCGATTTTGGTCACTACAATCGACAATATTCGAGTTTCGTTGCTGGTTTTGGTTGTGGGGTTGGTTTGGGGTTTCTTTCCCACTTCCCGTAAGACAGTTCTGACTTGGGTAACAGAACACTTCCAGCGCTGCCTGCCGGGGCTGCCCGGGCACACCGGAGGCACCGGCACCGTGCCCGGACTCCAGGAACGGCACAGGTCACCCGCACCTGTCAGCGCGAAAAGCCCAGCAACTCCCGGGGGGCCGCGGGCAGAGGACGGGCCCGGCCGAGCACTGTCAGCGCTCCGCGGGGTTTGTTCCAGTCACGGCGCAACAGGAGAGCTCCCACCCGCGGGTTGTGCCGCCCCAGCGCTCCCGCCCGCCCGCCGCCGCCTTTGTTCGGCTCTGGCAGCCGGGGAGAGACCTCCGGGGGTCCCGGCCCGGCCGCGGCTCCGGCGGGACCGACAGCGGCCACGGCCGGGAGGACACGCGACCCCCGGCGGGAGGGGCGCGGCGAACCAGCGGCTCCGCCTCGGCGGGGAGCGGCGGCCCCGCGGCGTGGGAAGGGACGGGCGGGAGCGGCTCCCCGCGCCCGGAGCGGGGCGGAACGGCAACAGGGCCGGCCGCGGCTGGGCACTCCTTCCTCGGGCGGAGGGTGCCGCGGAGGCACCGGGATGCGGTGTGTCTGTCCCTCCCCCCGCCCGTACCTGCTGTGAGGCCGCGGGAGCGCAGCGGGAGGCGGGGCCGGCGGGACGGGCGCGACGGCGGCGACGGCGATAACGACACCGAGAGCGGCGGCAGCGCCTCCTCCGCGCCGCCCGCGCAGCGCCGCCGCCCCCGCGCGCCCCCTGCTGCCGGGAGGCCGCGGGCACAGCCCGGGGGCGGCCTGAGCCCAGCGCGAGTGGCGCGGGCTTCCCATTGGCTCGCCACGATTGTTTTGGGAAGCGCTACTTCTGATTGGAGGCGACTGGGAAGCTCTTGGCTGCTGATTGGTTGCCTGCCTGCGGCCCGCCTTTCTTTCCCCTTCAGCGGGCCGGACTCCGCCCCGCCCGGTTTGTGGCCCTGTGCCGGTGGTGCCGTGTGACCGGTCGTACAGACACCGGTACGACCGAGCCCGAGGCCGCTACTACCCGGAGCCGCTGCGCCCCTTTAAGGCCCCGGTTGGCTCTCCCGGAAGCCGCCTGACGTGAGCAGCTGGCGGGATTCCTTCCGCCCAGTGACGTCACTCCTGGCCGAGAGGGAGCTGCGCGTGCGCGTTCCGCCGTGCGCGCGCCCCGCTGCCCTGAGGGCGGTGAGGCCGCGGGGCCGCGCTCAGCCGAGGGGAGCGCGAGTGAGCCCCGGGGCTCGGTGTGAGCTGGGGTTTCTCATGTCGGAATCCACCAAATGAAAATGCCTTTGCCCGATAAATGTCCCTGAGTGAGCACGAGGCCCAAGGAGCGCTGTGCTGTCGTTCATATAAGCCCCGACCAGTCTGGCCAGCGACAGGTGCAGGCGGGGACACCTTTCCTGGGCCGGGCAATAACGCCATCCGTGGGCCAGGCAGGTGGCACATCCCCTGCCCATGGAATGGCCGGATTGGCTCTAATGAGAGGAATTGGGTTTTCCCCTCTCTGTGGACATAATTATGTTCTGATAGGATCATGATGAACATTGTGAAGGGTCTGGAGAGGAAGCCATTTGAGGGGTACCTGAGGTCACTTGGCTTGTTCAGCCTGGAGGAGACTGAAGGCAGGCATTAGTGTGGTCTTGGAGCTTCTTCATGAGGGCCAGTGGAGGGGCAGACACTGATCTCTGCTCTGGTACAGTGGCAGCACTCAAGGAAATGGCTGAAGTTGTGTCAGGGGAAGTTTAGGTTGGATATAAGGAAAAGGTTCTCCCCCAGAGGATAATTGGGCACTGAAAAGGCTCCCCAAGCCTGACAGAGCTCAAGGAATGTCTGGACAGGGCTCTCAGGCCCATGGTGGGATTCTTGGGGCTGTCCTGTGTAGAACCAGGAGCTGAACTCAGTGATTTTTGTGGGTTCTTTACAAGTCAGGATTTTCTGATTCTGTTTCCTTTTATTCAGCAACATTAGTGATGGCAATGTCAGTAGCGCAGTTGACCAGTCTTGTACAGATGCCCCCACAAATACTGTGGTCACTGATGTGACCTGTATGGTAGGACTGCATAAAGAAATCTTTAGAAGTTCTAACCAGTACAGTATGAAGATTAAACTGCCGCTAATCAAGACAGGAAGGAATGCAGCCAATTAGTGGTTTATCAGGTGAAGTTATGCTGATGGAAAGTTTGTTGACCTTGTGAGGCCTAAAACATTAATTATTAATAAATCAATGTATTAAACATTGTTCCAGTCTAATTACCCTGGAGGAACTGTGTCTAAATTGTTGAAGCTTTGCCTTGAGGCTTTCCTCAACTCCAAAGGGTGAATTACCCCCTGCTGATCTTAGCCCAGTGATTTTTGAGACTGTGACAATTCAATCACAGCAGTCAAATATTAAATTGTGGTGCTTAAGTGTATGGTATGGCATTTAACAGATCCATGAGAGTCATGGTGAAATTGGCCCTTTGCCTACTGCAGGATCTAAAGGGACATGAGAGAAACAGAAAAAGTGATCATGCATAGAAGAACAGTTATATCCATGGATCATAAACCATGAAATAGACCATAAAATGGTAAGAAGGCTTGTCCAATTCCAAATTACAATTGTTTAAACACTAAGCAGCTTAAGAAAGCAAGCAGAGTGATCATTTTCATCCAGAACAACAAACCACTGCTGAGGCAAAACCTTTTGGCTGGTAGTAACACAATGAAAATATTAATCTTACCTGTTAATCCTTTTGATTTATAGGTATTACATAAATCATGCTGCTGATTTTTCCAGGCCTGCTGTTAAGATTTGCTGCATATTATTCACCTGGAGAGAATGGCCTGTTGGGAATTCCTGACTGCTTTGGGAATATTTCAGATGTAATACAGACTGCAAATGTGAGCTTGAAAATCATATCAGGTAAAGTTAAATTACTAAAATGTCTACATAAATATGCTGTCTTTCAAACTGTTAGAAAACAAAATAAATTTTGGGTTAGAATTAGGAGGTTATTGAACAAGTACCTGACTTTAAAAGTTACATTCCCATAAAATCTGGAATAAATTTATGAAACAAAGCAAACAAAGGGACTTCTCTTGAACTGTAAACAAACTTTTGGAGAGGAGACAAAACCAGTCTGACTTTTTATAATTCAACTATTATAAATTGTTTTGGAACCCATATTTATTATGTGCTCACTGATCAAGAGGATTACATGGGTGTGAATGATAGTTCCAGATGAGTGGAAGACAAGCATATTTTTCCAGTGTATTCCTTAATCTGCAGCATGGGAAGTCCCTATCATGCAACACTTTCTGACATGAGGATTACAGTTCACTGGAATTTCTGATGTGCATAATATTTATGTATGGAGATAATTTGAGGAATGTACTCCCTTCAAAACACTTTTGATTTTACTGTTTAATTTTTTTTTTTTTTTCATTTTGAATCAAGTCCTTGAACTTTCCCAGGCTCAGAATTACATACTAAATATATGGCTGGTGACATTGCTCTCTTTCCTCAAACAGTGGTTATGGAATATATGGTTATTCCAGCTCTGCATGTGTCATGGGCAGGAAAAAAATGTTTTGAATAATTAAACTAGAAAATGTCAATTTTTTCCTTTAAACATCTCTAAAAATAGTCAGACATGATCAGACATGAATTTATGTTATTATTACTACCCAAGGAAATATTCCACAACAAAGAATCTATACAGTCTATAAATTTCACCAAAACAGAGCTTTGTACAAAACAGGAGTATGAAAAGGAGAACCCCTTTGGTGAAGTCATACTTGAGGTATTGACCTGCATTAACCAAAGTGAAATACTTGAACCATATTAAAATTTATGAGAAGAGAAACCTGCAAAATTAAACTAAACTAAATTAGAGTGTGCACAATTCTCTTCCAAAGGTGACTTAACTGAAATACTGCTGTTTAGTCAAGGTAATTATGTGTATGTGAAATATAGTCTAGTGTAATCCATTCTAAGTCAATTTGCAGCGGCTGTTGTTCAATTTGCTGCCACACTTGGCACAGCTCTTTGCTCAGGATGCCCAGAGGTGAGTGAGCATTTCTCTGGCCAGAACAGGAGGATCTGTGGCACATTCCTGTGGCTGGCCAGCATATGGAGGAGGACTCTCACTAAAGGTACTGCCAGGATTAGGGTTTGTGTCTGCTTTTTTGTTGGTAGTGATGGATTTTTAATATCTCTGTGATAAAAAAAATTGAGTATAGCATGCAAGTTATGCTCTTTGTGGTACTTTATTTGTTCTCTTCTCTCCATACCATGCTTTTGAAAACCCTGACCCACTGCATCACTGAAACAGCAACAGCTTTTTCTTTTTAAATGCTAACAAAATTATACATTATAATTTCCAGCACTTACCAGTCAAATTATGGGTTTGAGCCATAAAAATAGGATGGCTTTTACTTTTGCAGAAGCTACATCAGTCTGTATGTTTTTCTAAATCCATGCAAGAAAAAATATCCTATAGCAGACACCACTTACTTGTGTATGAATGAAGAGCTTGTGGTGTTTTTTTTTTTACTTTTTTGCTTATTCTTTCATAAACATCTATTATTATAACT